ACACGCCTGACCAGTGTCATCGATGCGGCTGCATGCAACATACTTGAGACGGCGGTCAGCTGCAGAAAGATGAAAGCAACCACTATGTACTTGTTACTTGGTAGCATGTCTCCAAAGCCAACGGTAGTGAAGGAGATAGCGTAGAAATAGATGCTTCCTTCATAACTCCAGTCGGCTTCGACCCACATCTGTACACCAGCTCCGGCAAGTAGCAGTAAAAGCAAATAAATAAATCCAAGGACGAAGCATTTTCCGTTTAAGCGGTTAGGAGGATCGTATTTCCTCATGCACCTTGTCTCGATGGCTGTGACGAGCCATCTCTGCCCTCGAAAGATGTATTGACCTATAAGCCTGAGGAAAAGGATTGTTATTGGAATGCCAAAAAATGCGTACACAACGCATAGGACTTTACCAAGGAGTGTCACAGGATACAAATCTCCATATCCTAAAAGATAAACATATAAGAAAAATGCATAAAATTATTACAATATTCATCAGTCGCCTGATTTACGGACAACCACTTTTATGCGGCCACAGCTCGCTATTCCGTTTTTTGCCTGGGTAAAGCCTTTCATTTTCAATGCATTTTAATGCGGACAACAGACACTTTTTCCTTGTTTAATTATTGAAAGTGGGAGCGAAGGGAGTGTTGGGAAAGGGAAAAAAGGAACCACTCCACGACCTCCACCATTTCCCATCTCTCCCCCTCGCGCTCTGCACACGTTCCCATCATCCCCCACTTTGGCTTCTCCAACCTCGTCCCCAGCGTTTTTCTTATTTCTAAAGGAAAATCCCTGGGAACAAGATCGGAAGCTTCTCGCTCGTCCCCAGCTCCCCGCTTTAAAAGCTTCAAAATCGTGCTCCCCCCCCTTTGATGCCTTGAAAAACCTGTGGACACAATTTTGACCTTGCTAATGCGAAAACTTTCCTTGACAACTGCGTGCTGTAATACTGTAATCATTACATTTTCTAAAGCAAGAGATTGCCATATTATGGCTCTTGTCTAAAGGTAGACGGGATAAGATTTGAACCCATTTGAACCTGTAAATGTTCTTTCTCTCGGTATAGCTCTGACCCTGAGGAAGGCTAATTTTGTTAGCCAAAATATTGGCCTATGATAAATCAACCCTTTGCCGTAGTGCCAGCCTTGCATTCAGTTTTGTTTCATTTTACACTTCAAGTGACGTCTGGCGACAGCATCTCTTTAATTAGAGATCCGGCAACAGGAGCCAGTCAGTTATATTTACGTGTTGCATGGACCTCTGCATTCAAACCTTTTTCCTGTTCATGTGTTCGTATAAAGTCATTTGTGGTATAGGATTTCAGGTATTCAGAACTTTTATTAAGTAGAGACTAAGTTCAACTACTAATAAATTGTTATTCATTGACTTCAGTGTATCATGCATAAGAAAACCACATCGTTAATGTTAAAAAATGCCCCTCAGATTAGTCCTAATTGTTTAGTTTGATTGACTTGTTAGAGTACAGTTTTACATTTCCTTTATCTTTTCTTATTCCAACCACAGAAAAAAAGCAACTGAATAAAGAACTCTCAACTGAATCTCAGTCTGGGTGTGTTCACCCCTTAAGCTAAAGTAAAACGGGCAACAAAAAACGCGCAACTTGTTTTGCAGCATTCAGTGCTGCAAAACGAGCTGAATAGCGATGTTGCGAAGGCTAAACCTTACAGATAAGTGAAATGGAAGAGAAGAAGTCAAAAAGAGATTTGACTGTTAGTTTAGTGTAAGCCAACAGAAGTTAAAGAGCAAGTTCACGGTTAATAAGTCTAGTAGTTCAGCTGGCTGCTGGTCGCGAGTATTTCTCGCCTCGCCGTTCCCCAGTAAACGACACGAAGTTCGTCTCAGAATAAATTGAAGACATGCAAAATTTTGGGGGGCACTAGGTGCATCATGGGTAATATCTTCCTCAGGAGACATCCATTACCAAAGGAGGAGTTTGCATATATCCCATCATGCTTTGCGTTTGAACTATATTATCAAACTCTATTCGTCACGTGATACTGTTAGTTCAAGATGGACGCCGTGGAGAGAAGGCCGTGCGACGTGAAGCTATTCAAAGATAATCGCTACGTATGGCTTCATTGTATCGATCTGGAAAGCCGATTCGAGCTTACAGTCAAAAGCTTTCCACTTTTGAAGGTCAAGCTTGTTTACGGCCACTTTTCGTTCATGTGGGATTTGTCGGAACGAAGACTAGTAATGTTGCCCGACTCGGATGATGTGATGTCGAAATTAACTGGAGTAAAATCGCCTTGTTGTATCGACGTGAAGTCAAGTGATGGAGCGCCTTGCTCTAGGTGTATCTGTGTTCCATGACGATTCATGAGATCGGCGCTTGCTCTCGGGTTTACCCGGAGAGTCGAACGTAGGTACATGTCTACGTTTTAGACTTCCCTCCTCCATAACAAACAAACCTAAAAGGAACAATTCAGGACGTCGGATGAATATTTCTAGTGATTTAGATCTCAAATAATACCAAAAGGAATCCAAAATAAACCTAACGATACATACAAATATGTCTATTGCAAATCCATAAAACAAAGCACGTGGAAAAGGAACAAGATCATGCGGAATTTGCATCACACAAAAGCACCGTCAATTCTTAACAGACCAAAATTTGCACGCTTTTCTTGGTCGTCTACGGTTAAAACTAGAGAGGTCAAAAGAGGTCAAGACCCGTTTTCTGAATATTCAACCTTCACTTTCTGAAATGGAACTACCGTTGAGATTTATATTTGCATTAAACATTATGCAAATTAATAAAGATAGGAACCACTCGACTGTAAACACAAACACAAAGGCGCGCTATTGAAAAAACACTCTATTGTTTCATTGAACTCTTCACGCTTGACGACCATAAAGCGCCGAAAAAATAAAACTAACGAAAACTTGAAAGAAAAATTCATAAAAAATGGTAAAATCACTTACCTGGAGTACGCCAAAGTTGGCAAAATGGCAGGCTAAAAATCACTCATTAACGGAAAGACGACCGCCTTCGACCCGCCATTTTCATAACAAGCGTAACGAAATTGCACCAAAGCATGCTGGGATATATGCAAAATCCTCCTTTTCCAACACCGAAGCGTCTAGAGCACAAGTTCTGGGAGGCTATCCTTTATCCAACCCCAAACCCTTCAAATCTTTAAAATTCGCTGTTTTCAGCTAGAAGAAAGGCAATAAACAACATTTCAGGCAAAATGGGTTAATTTTGATCTTACTTTTTTGCGGTATCGATCCTAAGACCTCTACGAACATACGAACGGTGACAGTCACGATTTTGACAAAAGTTTTGAGCCGTAAAAAATTAACGACAAGTTTTCTTTATTTACCGTTTCTTCGAAGGCTGAAATTTGAAACATTTCCATAAATTCGTCAAAAAAAATTCGTATTTCGATGACATTTTCTGCAAAACAAGACTCTGCAGAGTATGTGTACTGAAGAAAATCTACGTGACTCCAATTAAGAATTTCTGTTTTAATAAGCGCCCATACCATAAACGGTCGTTCAGTTCTTCAGAAAAAAAAAACAATAAAAAAACACAATAAATTAAAACAAGTCGATTTTGAGACGACATCACTGCAGTACGACGGCGGGAAAAAATAGTCCTTTAAAACTGAGTGTCCGTAATTATAAAGCCGCAATGTCATGTTAACAAGTCGAAGTTTACAATAATCTTGTAGTCTGCTTTTACCCCTCACGGACTCGAAGTGTTTTACATCTTTTCTTACCAATGGTCGTGAGTAGCACGAAAGTAAACCAGAAGGAGTTTTCATAACTCCAGCTTCGCTCTTCATTCTCTTTTTCCTTCCTTGCACTTCCCTCCACGGCAGAGAACGCAAAGACACCAATCACAACATAAGCGCTCCATAAGAGCAGCAAAGCGAAAAACATCTTGTTCTTATTGCAAAATGCCATATCGTCGACTAACTGATACGGACACTAAGCTTATAAAGACTGCCGGAGAAGTGGATCCTTTATTGTACTGTGCCGCTTTTGTTTTGGTTAGAGAAAACAGGCTTATCACACGCACGTTAAGTTTATTATCATGGTAATAAGATTGGTATCTAAGAGAGCAGCTAAAACATTCAAGAAACGTTGGTCGAGGGCCAATGTGAACTTTCTAGTTTGTCCGAAGTTCCGACTTCACTTGTCTGTGTTCCAATTCGATACGAAATAGGCTATTTTCAGGTTCCAAAAAATCCCTCCCTTTTTAAAACGAGGCTAAGTGCAAAACCGTTCCTGTTAAAATGACTTTTACTTGAAAAGAATATCATATCATGACCAATCAGCTTCATATCAATTACTTCGCACTTGGCATCCCTTTAAAACGGAGGTTTTGGGCAGCTCGGGCGGTTCTTGCTCATCCTCACCCTAAGATGCCTCTAAAATAGTTTTTCCCGACCCTGTAAGTTTCAGTTTGGCCTAAGGATAAGATGAGGGCCCGGAGAAATTGGGCCCCTCCCTAGATGCGCCTAGGGGAACTTACTATAATGGCCTATATGTCGAAGCTCCTCCCGAGAGGGGTACTTTTTTCTGCTCAGTTTTTGGAAACAAGGAACTGGCATTACAAAATAGAAGAACTGGATCCTAATAGTGGATCTAATCAGCTATAAAACATCTGAACAGCGGAAAGAAGCAAGGCTGATTTTACAGTTGGGAATATGTGTAATTTGGGTTATCAATAGTTTGAAACGCGGACAGCCTTTCTTATTCAACCCCGACGTTTCTACATTTTATCCAAAATACATAAAATGGGTAACACTGGCCGCCCTATTGTTTCCAGAAGCAGGGTGTGCAGCTGCACGGTTGCTCCAAAAAAATGGAAAATTTGAAACTCAGGATTGAGAAAATTGGAAAATAAAGGAAAATCAATAGGATAGCCTCCCTGCACCCCATCAGGGCTATAATGAAGGCTACGAGTCCTCAGCTTCTACGTTCGGAGGATTTCGATCAACTTTCACGGTTTAGAAGGAGTGAAAATGATCAGTATTGTTACTTTATTCGTTCAGTTACGCTGTAATCAAAATGATATGCTTGACTACAGGTCGAGCGCGGTTCTATAACAAAGGTTATCATATGCAAATTCCCGTCAAGTTGGCGGCAAATCTTTGAAAATCCTCAGGGAGTGAAATTTCTCAGGATAGAAAATTCTTACGATTGCGTTGTCATTGAAGGATATCGAACTAAAAAGGACCATGGAAAGCTTTGCTTCCATTAATCTACAATCGGTAGCTGGTTGAGAATATGCTTGTTTGAGTCAGAAGACCGCATAGTTTTAAGTACCGAACCAGGCTTTTCCCTCTCTATACGTAGAGATAGAGAGATATAGCACTACGATACACCAGCTAATGGAAGGCATGAGAAAAAATAAATAAATGGATAAGTGGCTGCACCTTTGCTCATATGCACATGTTTGGCGCTTCATCTCTACCACACAATTTTTTGGCTAAGGAAAATCGAGAATGGTTAAGACAGGGCTCTTATCATTATCCTGCAGTGCTTTATTGGGATTTATTCACTTGGTTGACAGATACAGCAATTATGCTACATATTTTCTTCATATCACTGATTGACCGACTACACATACTGATCTTGATAACTAATCATCTGAATTTTCGAGAAAATAAGGAACCGCTGACTCTTTCAATGATACTGAGTAATATCCTATCGTCTGAAAACACTCCCTTTACTAAATGAATATTAACAGGAATATCATTAGAGCAGAATCTGTTGTTCATGTGGTGACAACTTGTACCTAAGGTGTTTATACAACTGCACTACAGTTCCTCCTATTACTCTGTGTTAATTTCACTAAGAAGATCTTCACAATCCTTCTTCAGCTCTTCTGCAATCGTCTGCAGTTGGGTTTTGATAGCTTCATCGAGGGGGATATCGTCTATAATGTTCCAGGAACCTTGGCGAAACTTAACCGGTACAGAAAAGACAATGTCTTGTGGAAGATCATACCATCCATCTGAGAAAACGCCGAGGGAGTAAATCTCTGAAGATGATCCTTGCCACAAATCATGAAGTTGTGATAACACTGATGAGCTGCCCGACAATGCAGGAATAGCACCTGGGTTTTTCACAGTATCCATGGGCTTTTTTAATGTTTCTAGGAATTCTCCAGTCAGCCATTTATCATCATGGATCATCTCGGGTACTGACCGTGTGAACCCAGGGACATGCGGCCCCCAAATGGCTCCATCGTACCCATGAACTCTTGAATTTCTGGGGTCCGCAACAGTGGTCACACCTAGATTGCCCCAGATGATAACATCCTTTATCCCTGCAGTGTTCACACTTAGTTTTTTGGCCAGTAGCCCCTTGGCATGGTTTTCCTGTAAGCGAGCTAAGGCACAAATGTTCTGTTTGGGAATTGACGGGGCAAATTTACTTGTGACAAATGCATTCACACATGCGGGGCCCCCTCCAATGAGAATTTTCACATCTTTTTTCGCATACTGGTCAAGTGCTAGACCGTGAGCTTTAAAAATTCTGGCACTGGAAATAAGCTGCTCCTTTTTATCTTCGCCGCCTCTAAGAGGTAGGCCATCAAGTAAAACAGCGACGCTTGCATCTTTAAAAGCAACAGCAGGGTCGGGGGTGTAAATAACTTCTCTCAAGAGAGGCCATGAACAATCTTGTATCTCCATAGCAGTACCTTTTAAAACATCCTGAGACTCAGCCGTGTCGAGCAGATATATGCTGACTTCTTGATCCATCCCAAATACTTCTCCTTGGGCTAAGCAAGCTAACACACCATAAGCGAGAGCACTAGAGGCACCCGAAACACAAATTCGAAGAGGGGTTATTTCAGCCTTTCTTTGCTCCTCCTCGGCGTCAATCTCAATCTTGGTTTGCAGATTTTCTTTCGCTATGTTCACGAGCTCATCGCTCATTTTTGCGGACGTGATACCGTAATACCCTTTCGCCATTTCAAGAAAGTCGTCGCATCCACCGAGAAGAATTCCTTTGCCACCACGATCAACCAATTCGCGCCAAATGAGAGGAGAACTAACATGCTGCCAACATTTCTCTTCACAAGTCATTTTTAGCCAGATTTCCCAATCTTCAGGCTGCTTAACAATCTTATGGATTTTGAAATCTGGAAGATTTAGCGCCAGTTGGTCAGCAAGAAGTTCTGCTTTGGCATAGAAAGGGCAATTTGCCTTTCCAGCAATAACATACTTCGCCATTTTGTTTTCCGAATCTTCTTTACCGTCGTTACCATAGCAATTTTGAGTTCGATCCTGTATCGCGGGCTCGCACAAGAACACGTGCTTCAAATTCAAGATGGCGGACGACGGCAGTGAAGAAGAAGCCAGTCAATCAACTTTAACTTTAGCTCTTGATTCCAACAAGCAGAAAGAATTTGAAGATAAAGTTAAAAAGCTAAAAGCACAGGTAAGTACATTTTTTGTCTTGAAAGGTGGTAAGAAACACGGTTTAGTTCTTATCGTCCTTATGCCTTTGTTTAATAGACATCTGGCAAATTTCATATGGTATTTGTGTTGTTTTTCCAGGCTGAAGACTTAACCCCCGGTGTAATTTACCTCGGTCACATTCCACATGGGTTTTATGAGAATCAAATTCGTGACTTTTTCTCACAGTTTGGCACTGTAAATAAAGTCAGACTCTCAAGATGTAAGAAGGTAAATACTAACAATGATAAGAAATATTGCTGCTGGAACAGTTTCTTCAAAGAAACTATTTTTTTTTTTAGAATTTAGTGCGTCTTGTGTAAATTTGATTGAATGACATTTGTTCCCATACTGTGCTGATTAATCAGAGCACCTGCTGGAGCTCAACATGAATGAAAAGAGATTTCTCCGAAAATCAATAAAGATGAATTAACCAAGTACAGCAAGTTTTCACGAATGTTTATTATAATGCGACCACTCAGTAAACATACAGGAGCAAAAATCAACCTTTTTGAATTGATTCAATGTTTTAGTTTGTGGAAAGTCAGAAAGGGGCTGAACTAGGTAAACATAGCCTGCATTGCAGCTGACCCACACATTGTCTAAACCATTCGTGTAGACCGTGTGCAAATGAGTGCACCAAAGCTCGTTCTGATATCCAGCATAGTTGCAAGGATATATGTGAGCGTTTTTGATAGGCGGGTTTCTTACACACCTCACGATTGGCCCAATTGTTATGTGTGTGTGATGGTTGGGCGCAGTGAGATGTCAAAGTTCACAGTGTGAAGGGAGTTGGCAAGGAGTGTTTCAATAAACAATGAAAGAGCAGTTCGAACTTGAAAGCCTTCTTCTGAACAAAAAAAAAATGCTTTGAGAGAATTCCTTCAAGGAAACATATCAACGTAAATTTGGTTTTCCAGCGTCTTCCATCCGCTGTAGATGCACTGCCCTGTATTCTGCAATCTAGTCGACAGTCCTAGTGTCAAAACAAATCAAGAAATCATGATATTCAGAGACAAAAAAAAACTAAACTCGCGTCAGACACATAGCTATTCAGGTCCAGGCATTTCGGAGAAAACCAAAGACACTAACCAGCTTCCTGGACTCAAAGCAGCAAAAATGATTTGCTCATTCAAAGTTTAGAATATTTCATGCACTGCATAAGCAACAAAGACCTCTGTTGTTCAAGCTCTAAGGTCACGTTTCACTCTATCACAAGCTCGTTCTCTCTTGTCAGGAGCCATGAGTCATGGTTTGGCCTGTCAACACTTTGCTTCAAATCAGACTAATCACAAACTGAGTAAGAAACTAGCCAATCAAAAACGCCAACGTATGTCCAAACACAATTTTGTGCACATAATCTTCATAATGTATGTAATAATTTCTAAAACTTTTATTAAGAGTGATTCACTGTATCACCTTGAAATTTCAAGACAAATCTATCCTACTTACCTGTCAAAAATCTGCATTACAACATTCACTGTTTTGACGTTATGCTAATTTTTCCAAAATAATGCACACTATACATACCTCCATTACTAGTACATTTTAGTTTGAATTTATCGCATCTTTTGAATGTAAAATTTTGACAATACTCACACTGGAATGTACTAGTCATTGATATATGTATTAGTCATTTCTTGATTTAGAAAGTACTGAAGTTGATTATTTTTGTTAGCTTTTCTGGTTGAATAGTTTTGAGTTTTTACTTTGTTCTAACCTTCAGACTGCAAGATCAAAAGGTTATGCCTTTGTTGAATTCGCTTGTGATGAAGTGGCCAAAATTGTAGCTGAAACTATGCATAACTACATGATGTTTGGAAAATTATTAAAATGTGAGTATAAAAAAGCAAAAGATTTTAGTTAACATATAGAATAACATCGTTACTACATGTATCACTGTTCAAGGCTGTGCTCAAAGAAATTGAAGGGAGCCCAGATGCTCATGAGTTAACTGTTTAGTCTGAAAGCACAACTACTGTCAAGAGTAAAAGCACATTTACTGAAGCCATATGCTACAATCATATTTCCTTGTGGCTCAAAAAGTGTGCAAAAGAAATTTGCAAAGCATTCATTTCTGTAATAGCTTGCTGATGTTAGCAAGAGGGTGTGAAATGTTTGTGGACATCTTGTCTCAGATTTCTTAGTTATTTAGTGATAAGGTTGATGCACTGTCATATACAGTAAAAATCTGTGACTAAACACCTGCATTTTTTTCCAAGTTGAGCATTGTATCACTTCAGGACATCTCAAAGAAGAAGTATTTACAGAATTATTTATAATCATGTAATAAAGATTAAAAGATTTTAAGACGGAATCCATTAGGAAATTGAGTAATTTTAATTTTTAGTGGACAAAAAGCTTGTACCAGAATTAATTTAAAGTATATTGTATTCTTTTTTAAAATTTTCGAGGGCTAAAGATGTAATTAGTCATCTGTAATAACACTAAAGAAAATTTCTGATGAGTGCCCTAGAAAATGAATGTCAAATTTCACAAAATTACATCTTACACATGAAATTTTCAAAATTTTGCTTGTATTTTCACAATTATTGTGAAATTTGATGTTCATTTTCTTGGACTCCCATGAGAAATTTTCTTTGGTGTTATTACAGATGACTCATAAGATCTTTAGCCCTTGAAAAATGCAAAAAATAATGCAATAGTCTTTAAATTATTCTGGTACAAGGTTTTTGTCCACTGAAAATTAATATTACTCAATTTCCTGGTGGATTCTGTCTTAATACTATAAAAAGCCACGACTAATGGCTGAATGGCTGTTTAAAACTTCTTCAGTTACTTGCTGGTGATTAGCTTGAAATTCTGGTTGCCAGCTCTCAATAAAATATTTCTAGGTTGCTTGGCAACCAGCTGGTCACAATTTTGGACCCTTTACATAAGAAAATAGTAGGGAGAATTAAGCAGTTAATTACACGTCACTTACACCTTAAATGTTCATTTTGTTTTTGAAAACTTTGTAGACGTTGTAGGTTAATGCAAAAAATTATGGCTCTAGACAGTATTTCTACAGTAATCCATGTGTCTCAATTTTTCCTGAATTGCTTTGAAATAGTTTCTTATAAGTTTTCCTTTTACAATATTCTATTGATACTTCCACACACTAATTTTGCTGAAAAATTACTGACTTTGGACTGTGGCTTAAATGTTTTCGAGAAATGTTGTTTTTTTCTTTTTCAGGCAAAGTTATTCCCAATGAAAAAGTTCATCCAAGACTTTGGAAAGGATCAGACAGAAAGTTCCGTTACATAAATTGGAAGAACGCTGAAAAAAAGAAACAGAACAAGGTGATGATTGATAGCCCCTGAAAACAGCCAACATTTTGCAATGCCCCACTGGTTTCCCCACAAAATGACCCCTGATGAACGAGCACGGAAATTTCATACCGATGACATGTCTCTATCCAGATCTGGGCAGTGCTTCTGATTGGTCACGCTGCATGGGAAATTTGCTTCAACCAATCAAAAGAACTACCCAGATCTGGGTAGTAATGTATCGTCAGTATTGTAGAGAAACTGTATTTTTGTGCTTGTTTCGTAATACCCTTTCGCCATTTCAAGAAAGTCGTCGCATCCACCGAGAAGAATTCCTTTGCCACCACGATCAACCAATTCGCGCCAAATGAGAGGAGAACTAACATGCTGCCAACATTTCTCTTCACAAGTCATTTTTAGCCAGATTTCCCAATCTTCAGGCTGCTTAACAATCTTATGGATTTTGAAATCTGGAAGATTTAGCGCCAGTTGGTCAGCAAGAAGTTCTGCTTTGGCATAGAAAGGGCAATTTGCCTTTCCAGCAATAACATACTTCGCCATTTTGTTTTCCGAATCTTCTTTACCGTCGTTACCATAGCAATTTTGAGTTCGATCCTGTATCGCGGGCTCGCACAAGAACACGTGCTTCAAATTCAAGATGGCGGACGACGGCAGTGAAGAAGAAGCCAGTCAATCAACTTTAACTTTAGCTCTTGATTCCAACAAGCAGAAAGAATTTGAAGATAAAGTTAAAAAGCTAAAAGCACAGGTAAGTACATTTTTTGTCTTGAAAGGTGGTAAGAAACCCGGTTTAGTTCTTATCGTCCTTATGCCTTTGTTTAATAGACATCTGGCAAATTTCATATGGTATTTGTGTTGTTTTTCCAGGCTGAAGACTTAACCCCTGGTGTAATTTACCTCGGTCACATTCCCCATGGGTTTTATGAGAATCAAATTCGTGACTTTTTCTCACAGTTTGGCACTGTAAATAAAGTCAGACTCTCAAGATGTAAGAAGGTAAATACTAACAATGATAAAAAATATTGCTGGAACAGTAAAATATCCTCACGGCACACCTATTACCCTGTCACGGAGAACTAAGTTATGAAAAGATGCCGCGACTGTTAGGGCAATAGGCGTGCCAAACATTGCGCAAAGGCGGTGCCAACTGCCACCAGGGGAGGTGGGAGGGGTGAAACTTAAACGCCACTTTTACCAAACTCCGTAGAACTGGCCAGGAAGCGGCTAAAACCAAGCTATTTGAAGTGAGGGCCGCAAGGCATTATGCGCGGCAGCACGCAGGCCCGGCAGGAAGGAATTTAACTGAGTTAAACCTTCCTGTGTTACGAGCTAATTATGTATGCAGTGAGAATAGTTTTTTCAAAGAAACCGTTTTTTTTTATAATTTAGTGCGTCTTGTATAAATTTGATTGAATGACAGTTGTGCCCATACTGTGCATCTTACACACCTCATGATTGGCCCAATTGTTACGTCTGCGTGATGGTTTGGCCCAGTGAGACATCAAAATTCGCAGCGTTAAGGGAGTTGGCAAGGAACATTTACGGTAAACAATGAAAGAGCAGTTCGAACTTGAAACCCTTCTTCTGAACAAAAAAAAATGCTTTGAGAGAATTCCTTCAAGGAAACACATAAACGTAAATTTGCTGACTTGATTTCCAGCGTCTTCCATCCGCTGTAGATGCACTGCCCTGTATTCTGTAATCTAGTCGACAGTTCTAGTGTCAAAACAAATCAAGAAATCATGATATTCACAGACAAAAAAAAACCTAAACTCGCGTCAGACACATAGCTATTCAGGTCCAGGCATTTCGGAGAAAACCAAAGACACTAACCAGCTTCCTGGACTCAAAGCAGCAAAAATGATTTGCTCATTCAAAGTTTAGAATACTTCATGCACTGCATAAGCAAGAAAGACCTCTGTTGTTAAAGCTCTAAGGTCACGTTTCACACATCACAAGCTCGTTCTCTCTTGTCAGGAGCCATGAGTCATGTTTGGCCTGTGAACAATTTGCTTCAAATCAGACTAATCACAAACTGAGTAAGAAACTAGCCAATCAAAAACGCCAACATATGTCCAAACAGGATTTTGTGCACATAATCTTCATAATGTATATAATAATTTCTAAAACTTTCATTAAGATTGATTCACTATATCACCTTGATATTTCAAGACAAATCTGTCCTACTTACTGGTCAAAAATCTGCATTACAACATTCACTGTTTTGACGTTATGCTAATTTGTCCAAAATAATGCACACTATACATACCTCCATGACTAGTACATTTTAGTTTGAATTTATGGCGTCTTTTGAATGTAAAATATTGACAATACTAACACTGAAATGTACTAGTCATTGATATATGTATTAGTCATTTCTTGATTTACAAAGTACTGCAGTTGATTATTTTTGTTAGCTTTTCTGGTTGAATTATTTTGAGTTTTTCCTTTTTCTAACCCTCAGACTGCAAGATCAAAAGGTTATGCCTTTGTTGAATTCGCTTGTGATGAAGTGGCCAAAATTGTAGCTGAAACTATGCATAACTACATGATGTTTGGAAAATTATTAAAATGTGAGTATAAAAAAGCAAAAGATTTTAGTTAACATATAGAATAACATCGTTACTACATGTATCACTGTTCAAGGCTGTGCTCAAAGAAATTGAAGGGAGCCCAGATGCTCATGAGTTAACTGTTTAGTCTGAAAGCACAACTACTGTCAAGAGTAAAAGCACATTTACTGAAGCCATATGCTACAATCATATTTCCTTGTGGCTCAAAAAGTGTGCAAAAGAAATTTGCAAAGCATTCATTTCTGTAATAGCTTGCTGATGTGGGCAAGAGGGTGTGAAGTGTTTGCGGACATCTTGTCTCAGATTTCTTAGTTATTTAGTGATAAGGTTGATGCACTGTCATATACAGTAAAAATCTGTGACTAAACACCTGCATTTTTCCAAGTTGAGCATTGTATCACTTCAGGACATCTCAAAGAAGAAGTATTTACAGAATTATTTATAATCATGTAATAAAGATTAAAAGATTTTAAGACGGAATCCATTAGGAAATTGAGTAATTTTAATTTTTAGTGGACAAAAAGCTTGTACCAGAATTAATTTAAAGTATATTGTATTCTTTTTTAAAATTTTCGAGGGCTAAAGATGTAATTAGTCATCTGTAATAACACTAAAGAAAATTTCTGATGAGTGCCCTAGAAAATGAATGTCAAATTTCACAAAATTACATCTTACACATGAAATTTTCAAAATTTTGCCTGTATTTTCACAATTATTGTGAAATTTGATGTTCATTTTCTTGGACTCCCATGAGAAATTTTCTTTGGTGTTATTACAGATGACTCATAAGATCTTTAGCCCTTGAAAAATGCAAAAAATAATGCAATAGTCTTTAAATTATTCTGGTACAAGGTTTTTGTCCACTGAAAATTAATATTACTCAATTTCCTGGTGGATTCTGTCTTAATACTATAAAAAGCCACGACTAATGGCTGAATGGCTGTTTAAAACTTCTTCAGTTACTTGCTGGTGATTAGCTTGAAATTCTGGTTGCCAGCTCTCAATAAAATATTTCTAGGTTGCTTGGCAACCAGCTGGTCACAATTTTGGACCCTTTACATAAGAAAATAGTAGGGAGAATTAAGCAGTTAATTACACGTCACTTACACCTTAAATGTTCATTTTGTTTTTGAAAACTTTGTAGACATTGTAGGTTAATGCAAAAAATTATGGCTCTAGACAGTATTTCTACAGTAATCCATGTGTCTCAATTTTTCCTGAATTGCTTTGAAATAGTTTCTTATAAGTTTTCCTTTTACAATATTCTATTGATACTTCCACACACTAATTTTGCTGAAAAATTACTGACTTTGGACTGTGGCTTAAATGTTTTCGAGAAGTGTTGTTTTTTTCTTTCTCAGGCAAAGTTATTCCCAATGAAAAAGTTCATCCAAGACTTTGGAAAGGATCAGACAGAAAGTTCCGTTACATAAATTGGAAGAACGCTGAAAAAAAGAAACAGAACAAGGTGATGATTGATAGCCCCTGAAAACAGCCAACATTTTGCAATGCCCCACTGGTTTCCCCACAAAATGACCCCTGATGAACGAGCACGGAAATTTCATACCGATGACATGTCTCTATCCAGATCTGGGCAGTGCTTCTGATTGGTCACGCTGCATGGGAAATTTGCTTCAACCAATCAAAAGAACTACCCAGATCTGGGTAGTAATGTATCGTCAGTATTGTAGAGAAACTGTATTTTTGTGCTTGTTACTCAGACGTCATATCTGGGGGATACCAATGGTGGCATTGTAAAATGTTGGCCGTTTTCTCAGTCTTTATTATTGATAGATTGTAAATGCACACTTTGAGCTTGAAAAGATACCTCTTTCAGTCCAAGCCTTCCTGTATAGACCACTATAGACCCTGGGTGGACACTGGGTATAAACTATTTTCTAACAACTCCCCAAGCTGAACTAGACTACCAAGCTGAATTTTACTTATAATCACATGAATTTAAATTCATATAAAAGTTATATACTCTCAGCTTTCTCTAAATGGAAACCTGCCATAAACAGATGCCTACATTGTAGAACTGGTCCCAGCTTGTTTTCAACATTATTCTCATTTATTCTCAAGACAAGGTCGTATGTAGGGGTGAGAAAATGAGAAATGCTTTATAAGGAGGCAGTGTGGCCAAGTGGTCAGCGCGTCGGACTCGCAATCTTGCAGTCCCAGGTTGAGTCCCGCTCTGGCGACTTGCTGGTTTTGTATTTGGTCATCCTGAGTTCAAATCCTCGGCCATGCTTGTAAATAGCCAACTGGTTGCCTCCTAACAGTTAGGGTTTTTTAATCCTGTTATGTTATATTTGAATTATTTGTTTCTAAGTATTTGGGTGGATTGCCTGTGAACTAGGTGGATAAGCTAAGTGCACTCTCCTCTATAAACCAAAGCCTTTAAACCTTTTTAAAACCTTTTATGTCACTTGGTGTCAGTGCCCAGTTCCTATCTTGGGGATCAAGAGTAATTAACTTTTGAAAGGGGCTTACATCAAGGTATTCACTAAGATTTTATAATTATTTTTATGCACACCTTTCAGGAAAAGACTGACAAAGAACATGGGAAGCAAGTAAAGAATATTCTCAAGAAAGAAAATAAGAAAAGGAAAAAGATAAAACAGCTAGGAATTGATTATGAATTTCCAGGATATGTAAGTCATCGTTGTGCTGATTACCATTCAATTTAACAAAGTTATCAGCAATGAGCACAGGGTCCAGAGGAGATATGTTTGTCGTTAGAACATCAAAACCGTCAAAAACCTCTGAAAAAATGGGTTATTTTGATGGCGTTACAGTTTCGTTACACATCCTATAGACCACAAACCAACAGACTGAGGGTTCGCAAGATCAGCTTACTTGGCACTTCGTGCCTCGGTCGCCCTTTGGGTGACGTGCCATGCGACAGCGAGGATATGGCTTGTGGTTATTGATTTTCAAAATGGTGAACAACAAAGTCGGTCTTGATCCCAGATCCATTGGGCTAATTAATTGTGCTAAGCGACAGGTATAGACATTTTTCAAGGTGAGACTTTAAACAAGTAATTCATTTATTCTCACAAAACTCCTCTGGACCCTGTGCGATGAGAAGCTGGTTTGTTAACAGTGATCATTAGTAGCTGAATATTGGTGCATGTTTGGAGCACTTGATCCTCATGTAGCCATACAAAACATATTCCAGGGTGCTGAAGCATGGCAGATTTTCTGTGGAGTGTTCATCCAATTATCATTTCATTTCTATCTGTCCCTTCCCAATCCCTTTCCTATGTTAAATCAGGGGTTGAAAAATCTTGAATTCCAGCTTCTCCTTTGGACAAGCAGCTCTCACATTTGCTTGTTCTGCGCCACTTCTTGCTTGCCTTAAGTAATGATTTTGTTTAATACAGGATGACTTGCCGCACCCTTACCCATTGGACAAGTAAGCTTTAAAAGTTACTTGCCCAGCAAGAAAATGTGGTGAAATTTAGGTTTCTGGGAAACTGCCCACCTACCCCTCCCCTAACCCAACATTTTGCCCTAAGTGAGAAGTAAACATTAATAATAATGTTGGCTTAGGGGAGGGGTCAGTGGGTAGTTTCCCAGAAAGCTACATTGATCCGAAAATGTATTGTCCCGGACGGGACTTTTTTCAAATCGTGTAAGTGAGTGTGACTGGTCCATGCCAATATGGGGGCTCACGGTTGGGTTGAAGTTTTTGGTCATGGAAGTTGTCACTGTGTAAGGTTGCCTGATCCCCGTGACTCTTTGGCATTTCCAGGTACTAATCTTTCATATACTTACAGTGTGACGCATGAATTGATTCATTTCATATATTTCAATGAACATAACTCTGTAAACAGTCCACAAAACCAGATTTTGGGGAGCTGAATAGCCCGAGTAGTGTTCATGGTTCTGTTTTAACCAATCGAAAACTTCTTCCTTATCACCTTTGCCCTTTTTACACAGGCCTCTGAGATGAAAGCAAAACGTCCAAAACACACAAGATTTGACAGAGAAGAAAACAAAGAGTAATGGAAAAGCCAATGTTTCTTATGTATAAAGAAAAACATTTCAGCCAGTACAACAAAATACAGCAAGCCGCTTGGGATTTGGTCAGCTTTCAAAGAAAGAAAGTGGAAGTTTGTCTCTATTTAAACATGACGGTTTTGCTAATACCTCTCCAATGTTATAAGTTTTGAAAAATTGTCATTCTCTATAACTGAATCAAAAAGAGAGCATTAATTATTTTAGTTGTCTGAGCATGTTTTATGGGGTTCTCGAATAGGACCTCTGGATCCTTTAAGAGATGAATGCCTGCATATGTGAGTACTATTGCCGTGCCTCAACTTCGGTAAAATCTCGCCTCAGAATCTAAAGGTCTCTTATCTCAGTAATAAATAGCGAAGTGCTTGTTAAAAATGACGGTTTAACACAATTATACCACGGTCAAGGTGTGATATTACTGATTATATGTTTATTTGCGATAAAGCGAATTTTTTTGTAGATGGTAAAATACTTTATACAGCAAACTGTTCACTTCACAGTCCCCTATTTTTCCGTAAGATCGTCGGCCATCTTAGGAAAAATAAGAGACTGTGAATAGTCTATTGTACAATTGTGTACACTTCTCATTTGTTGGCTGTTTCTTTTTATTGCCTACTCGCTAAAAAAGTGCTGACAGGGCTCAAACCCAAGACAACTCTGACTATACCCTGCGAGCAGAGGCAACATTTTCGCTGTGTGAGCTGTCGTGCGAAAAGTAGTCTGTGATTACGGAGAGGTGCTATAATCGTAGCCTGTGAACAGAACGTGCTTCTTTTCGCCCATTTGTTCACCAGTCTTTTCAAACCGCAGATCCACGAGAAGACTTATGATATTTTAAATTTACTCGATTCTCGTGTGATCAAGTCGTGCGCTAGCATCAGTAGCAATTCATAGCAATGATGCGTAAAACAAAATTAAGTAGATCAATTTTTAAAATGGGAAATGTGCTAAAAGAAAATCATCGTGTCACGAGTTTGGGGACAAAAATTAACATGAAGTCTGAATTTTTCAGGGGCACCCAACGAGAATATAGTTTAAAACCACTTAAACATAGCATTTTTGAACATCTTTTAAAAGGTAGATATAGGCATATTTTTATCCCCTAAAAATCTGTTCGGATTTCTTAGCTGAAAGTCTAGTGATCCGAAAATTATAGGGATCAAACTTTACCTTTTCGAAAAATTTCAGCCAAAAAAAAGGCTCCCGAAAATTCTAGGTGACCTTTTTTGGGAAAAAATCCGGTAAAAATGGGCAATTATACCATTTTGTAGATGTTCGAAAATCCTAGGAGAGGCAGGCAAGCAAGAAATTTTACAACAAATGTTGCGAAAATTCTAGATCTCAAATCGTCTTCCGAACAGATATTTTCCAAAAATTAACGTTGGGTGCCCCCTGATTTTTAATAGTTTTAAAAGCGATGATAGGCTTAGCAGAGTTTTACCAAAGCAGGAAATAAGTAAGAATTAAATCTGACGATGATAATTTTTTTGTCGCGTCTTGGCGCCAAAAAAAACCCGGCGGTGGGGGGGTACTTAACGAAGGTTTAAACGGGGGAGATTCCGCCGCGAGGTCCAACCCCTTACCCTTTTATATACCATTTTTCGTGAAAAAGGTAGCCCTTTCGTATACCTTCTATTAACAATTGGTACGCCTTTCATGTACCTTGTTTAGAAATTTGCCTCCCTTTTAACTGCTTTAACTGCTCCGTCTTTTCAATATGAATAAATCTCTAAACCAGAAAGTTTTCTTGTCTCTTTCACTTCTACAAAATGTGTCTGTTAGCCCTTTTTGGTCCTATTACAGACCCAGATGACAGATTTCCTGACCCTTTTATATACTTCAACGAGTAGAATCCCCACCCTTTCATATACCTGAAGCCTGAAAACGGTACCCCTTTCGGGCGGAGCCTTCCCTTATAGGCCATTATAATTAATAACTTATTAGCCATATATGGTTAGGAATTTTTTGTTGTTTGTAATTTTAGTTATTTGGAAATAGCTGATATACTATTTATTGTTTCAGACTCCAAATAAATAAAACATGTATGTATGTATGTTATAGGGAGGGAGTACCCTCCTCCCTCCCCGGAAAAAAAAACGTACTGAGCTCATTGTGTTATCTTTTGCCAATCTAAGTCCGGATGTTACAAGTCAATAGATTTTCGTTCCATGTAGGGATAAAACAGTGCTAATTACCCGAGAACTCAATTATAATCTGCTGTGGAATGCTACCTGAATTTGTTCCATTTAACGAACTCGAATTCGGATCTACGAGCTCGTGCACGTGGTCAATCGAAGCTAATCGAGGGAACAAAGCCAATTTGCTGCATAGATCAGTATATTTTCAGTCTTTCCTTTGTTACAGTAAAAGGAAAAGGAATCAGTCATGAAATAAATCTGAAAATGGGCTTGCCCATAGTCAATGGCTTGCCATATAAACCTTGTTGCCCGTGCAGACATTAGCGGATAATAGCGACCTTATTAAGATAACCTGTTTCTGCCTACGAGAACGGGTAAGCGAACATGTTTGCCACTTTGTTATATAAAAGGTGGCCATGATTTCCAGGGTAAGAGGCAATCTATCTGTATTCACGGCTACGCGTATGGGTATTTAACCATACCTTTACACAGAAACGGTATCTTAAAAGGTCTCTAATGTGGGGGAGCTATTGCAATTTAGTAATGGCCTGGGCGTCAAAGGGAAAGAAGGCCATGGAAAAAGAGAGCAGAGAAGCGGCTCTTGTGATGAAGGTAGTGTCCTTACTGAGTCCCTGTTGTCGAAGCCCTTCAAAACCTCTAATTTTATTCGTTCTTCCTGGCACAAAGCCGTATTTTTTCAGGGCTAGAGTCCACTGCTTGACTTGTTCTTGTTGTTGGTTTATTGATTTTTCACTCAATCCTGTTCGCTGTTCCGATAGCTTCAGTCTATCCTTGGAGACTCAGGGACAACTAACAGGCCATTCGCCACTTCCTCATTCATTGCCCATGATACACCTTGTTTATTCCCCGAAATTATGCATAAGGTCGTTTTCGCTTTCTCTTGGGACGACTGTCATATCCAGGAGAAATGAAAACAACCTCCTACGATTTTCTATTTTTTTTGGGGGGGGGGGGGGGGGGGGGGGGGGGGGGGGGGGGGGGTCTTATGCACCTCCATGCATGGTCTCCTTTTCCAGATATAGGGAATCCTGCTAGGTTTTCAGCTCTTGTATCTAGACACGAATGGACAAAAATCAGTCATCAAGCAGTTGGTTGTTTACTATTTGGGGGGAGGGGGGAGGGAGGAGCGAAGGAGGGGGGGGGTGGAGGGATAAACAGGGTGTATTTTGGGCAATTATGAAAGCGGCCAGTTCCAAAACACTCATTTTAAAATTGGCGCCAAGTGCAAAACCTTCATTGACAATTTAGTCCCTGGTTCAGACGCCAGCCTGCGAGCAAGCTCTCCATTTGGGAGATATCGTGAAAAGTATAAGGCTATTCACTGTGGTCAGACGCCGAACTTTTTTACTAAGTCGAAACTAATATCGATTTACTTGAATTTATTTACACGAAAAGTTCGGCGTCTGAATCAGTTAGAACGCCTAACCCGTTTTTCCCTCTTAGCCCGGCCGGGAATTTCGACTTCGAAACGGCTTTCCCATTCATCCACGCTAAATAATTTAGGTCGGTTTTATTCGAATTAGTTTTTGCTCACGAAAAGTTCGACGTCTGAAACCGGCCAAAGGTTTATTTTCATATCAAAGACTTCGCACGTAACCTCGTTTTCAAAAAGAGGCTTAGGGAAACTCGAAAGTTGGTCTTTTGGGATGGGATATTTAGATCACATCAAGAAAAATAATGATAAACGGGAATGCCAAATGTCTTTGAACTGGCTTGGTAAGAGTAAGTTCTCAGGGGTTTTAATGCTCTTGTCGCCAACTTTGCCTAAGGCTTTCCACAAACATCCGGATATTTTTTGGGAAAGTTAGTAGTGTCCGAGGTATTTCAACAATTCTCAGGTATTAAGAATTTTTTTGGATATTTTTATTTCTATTGACTAATCTGAGCCCTATATTTTACGCTCTTTTTAGCTTATTGTCGTGAATTAATACTCAGTACTACATCTTTTATATCAGTTGAAGCAGCGGCCATTTTGCAAACATCGGGTGATGGTAACATTGATGAGTCTGAAAACCCTCACTCTTCTTCCTCTACTCGTTCTTCTTCAAAACACTAACGTTATATATTTACGTAGACAATCCCATTACATACTTTCTAAAATCCCACAGGTGACCAGCTGGCCTGCGTCGCAGAGGTAATTTATCCCTATACTTCACCACAGGTTTAGTTTCGTCTGTAGCGAAGGCTAACAAGACGAACAAGTGACAAAATTGGCATAAGTACCTGTTCAAAATCGATTATTTTAAAACTAAAATAAAATATATTTAGACACCAGTAGAGGGGGTTTCGAGATAATATTAGAATTTTCTTTTTTGGCCATTTCCGGAAAGATATTTAAGCGATTTTACTTTGTCCAAAATGATTGCCATCTCCCCGTGAATATTCTTTTCCCGCCCTCCTTCACGGGCGCTTTGGGACGCGCCAGACGAAGCAAATAGAAAAGAAGCCAACCCAGAGGCATAACCGTTGTCAAATTAATTCAAAGCCTCCCACATTCTTGTCCCAGGAGGAACGCGTGACGAAACACTAAGAACGCCTGCGTGAAACACAACACACGTTTTGATCGCGGTGGAGGCGAAGCCAACTTTCACCGTCCTTCCGTCTTTTGCGCATAGTAAGAGAGAGAGAGAGAGAGCCTGGGTATGAGGCTAGGCTGTCCCTGCGTCTCTTCATTTACACTGGCAAATCTCGTCTCTGACAAGTTTCCATGTTCCAAGACTTTAGCACGCCAGTTTTTAAACAAGGAAATACAATCTAAAACAAGGCTATGGTAAACTGTCTACGTCATACAAATGATCGAATTAACTATCCACACTCAACTTTGTTCCTAGGGCTTATTTTTGTAGTTTCGCGCAGTTTACAAGGGAAAAGGCGTGGGAACAAGGTTGTATGGTAATGCATCACCGGGGAGCTGGGAGCAATTTTTATCCAAAAACGGACCAATAGACTATAAAAACTATAATTAAAAACGCGTTATCTTTAATAATGAGCGATATCTTTACATAACAGTAGTTTTCATGTTGGTTTCCGATACTTGCACTGAATCCAGATACGATACATTTTAAGCTGTCGCCCGCGATTTACTTGTAATCTACGATCAACGTAGTTCTGCTCTTCAACAAGTCCAGCCTGTTTAAACATGCGCGAAAGGTCATCTGAAAGAGCAAAGTACCGGGCATTAGTATGGTTAGGTCTTGAATGAAAATGGGTCCTTAGTCTTCTAGGACAGCGGGTAGTCACCAGGAAAGTCTAGGTACACCGTGTATGGCGAGCAGTGAAGGCGACTGTAAAGTTTGTAGTCGTAGTCAAGGATAATGTACACTAAACGTACCCATACACAACGTAACGAACCGGTAAACAATGGGGAAAAAACAATTTGTAAATGGTTGTTTGACACTGCTTGAGACATCAGCTTGAATGTATTCAGTCAATATTTTTTCGTCGGTATTTGTAAAACATTGAGGGTGGCCGAGTAAAACTATCATTTTCACAGACTTTAAATCGCATCATTGCTGTTTTAAATCGCACCATTTTTGCTCTATAGGGTATCATTCTGTTTCGAATACAAAATAAGATTTAAAAGCCTTTTTGCTTCCGCTTTTCAACAAACCGGCTAATTGATCATTAAAATATTGGTACTGACAGAATTCTTCGATTTCACAACGGCTGTAATTAAGTGGTAATTAAACTTCGTCGCGTAATTTTGGTCCCAAACCATACTTGTGATTTCAGGCAAAATTACACTCCACTCAGTTCAATTACCATTATAAACCAGTTAGTCTGCTAATGGGCTCCGCGGCACTTTGTTGTGGTGACCAGTGGACAATCTGGAATTTTTCTACCAATTATTCACTTCTTATTTTTATTTTTAACCACCCCCAAATCCAAAATTTTAAACATCGCGCCCTAATTTGTATACATTGAAAACATTCGAAAAATCACCCAAAAATCCTCAAGAAATTATTGAACCAAGGACTCCAACTTAATTGAGTCATTTTTTGGTTGAGTGAGATCTTGGCTAGATATTTAAAAGGGTGGAAATCAACGAAAAACAATGCTTTTAACCAAACTGCCCACTTAATCAAAGTGCATATTCATGAAGCACAAAAGTTTGGGTCCGTTTGTGTCCTAGACTGCAAGACAGTCCGTACTTTTGCGTATTCAAGTACGCGCGAGCAGTCAAACGGAGAGGTCTGGAACGAGGTTGAAAACAGAGAGCGAGACTGGGGAGAGACGCTTTTCTCTCGCTTTTCTCTCGCGCGCTTCGCGCTCAAGACTCTTAAGCCACGCTTTACCGATTTCTTTACTGATTTTGAGAAAAAAAACCCGACTGTTTTGCAGTCTATTTGTGTCCCTTATCATTTAGTATTCTGTTTTATGAAGTGTTTTTATTTCTTCGCGTTTCGACCTTGACCTTGCTAACTGAAGTGTACAGGTTTAAAAAAAGCTACGCGCGTAAAATTTTTGTCGAACTTGCTTACCACTGATATTAAACAAAATGGCTGTAACTGAGAACTATAAATTGAACACGCATTCCGATGAGTCATTGGTCAAATTAGAGTTTTTGAATTCCTGCCTAGGGAGGCTGCGTTTTGTTTGAAACAGAAAAGTCAAGGTTAAGGTAAAAAAAACTGCGGAATAATTTAATCAGCACACACACACAAAAAAATTGATTATAATATAACAAACTACTGCGCATTGCTACAGCCTGAGGGAGTCCAAAACAGGATTAAGAAAACCAAGGATGACCCAGGATTAGTTGACATTTAGACTCAAATCTACGCCTTTTTAAAAAAAATGGATTCCGGTTGATTATTTTTGGCTAACATTTTGGCTTAAAACGTATTCTCGGATTGTACAATTAAATTAGGAATAAAAACCTTGGCAAAGATCAATCTCGGATAGCCCTTGTATCTCGAGCGACTTTTTTAGTCTTCACATGCGCGCACCGAAACCGGGTGAAGTGTCTAGGCGAATCCCGACTCTAACTGAACGCTGACACATCAGGAAAAGCTGCAAATCTCACAGCTGTAAACACCAACCAAACTACTGCTGAATGAACGCATAGCAGTAAAGATAATAGATAAGTTATTGAGGTGCGTACTGCGAAAATCATCATTTTGCATGTTTGAGTTGTCACCTTGGCGTCAAAATCAGACGCAGCAGGTGCACATGATCGAAGGTAATGTTTTCATTTCTCCTGTAAAATCAAGAACAATCCGAATTTTTTTTTTCTGTAAAGTACAAAATCACAATAGCACTGTGAAAAAGTACTGTGAAAAGTGGTTTCATATGAATGGTAACATCATAAGATTTCGTGCACAGACTCAAACGTTAGAAGCACATTTGCTGTCTCCAAAGTTGTCTCTCGGGGTGATAAGGGTGTAACGGCTGTCAGCTATACACATTTTTTGGTATTTTAGCGTCGCGTAAGCATGAATTGGCTGAAATTACTGAATAAAAAAACTCGGTTTAAACGATTCTCCCACGTACACACACAATGGAGGAATGAAATGCAGTGTAGCCTAGTAAAGTCTATGGTAAATATGAAGAAGAGCAGTACAGTCTAGTGAACTCTATGGGTCACGAAATGTCGTGGTATGATCTTTCAAATAAAACCTTTTCAGCAGAACGTTTATGCAGTAATATTTATTTCCAGTATATTTCAAGTCTCTTTCTCTCTAAAAGCGTAAGTGAGCACGAGGGAGAAAAAAAAACCAGTGATCGGGTACAAAAGACGATTTGCTCTTTTTCAGTGGTATAGACAAAACTCTAGCTTCATATTAGGTTTAGCTATGTTTGTTGCTAGCAAATATGCTAAAACACGCTATTGTTACAAAATAACGCCAAGCTATTTACTGCTTGTGTCGACTCGTGAACGCTTTTTGTACAAAAGGAAACTTAGCGATAAACAGACGCTTACAAACAAATCCAGCGTTCTTTCAGTATCAATTCAAGCTGACTCAACACATGTTCATCACAAAGTACTGAATAGGAAATTTGCAAATTAAGAACTTGAAGAATTTGTCCATGGCACAACAGCAAATTAATAAATATGAGTCCATATTAATAACAATTTGATTTCATTAAGTTAATCACAATACTCGTTTTCCGTTTCACAGTCCATAGTCCGCACAAAGGTCGTAAGTAAGAAGAGCTTTATATTGCTGGTTTAACGTACCAATGATGCATCAAGAAAAACAACGCAAAAAAATCAGCCTTGCTGAGAACAAAAGAATTATGCCTGCGCGCGTCCAAACACAAGCAGCAATTCTCTCCGCAAAAAAGAGCATCGGGTTGTTTTTCACCAATTTTTTTTTTTTAGTTGGAGGAAATAGGAAGTAGTTTAAACCTTCAGAAGAGAGTATTTCCGTCTTCGGACTAGCACGTTCTAAACTTTAGTCATATCCAAAAACGAACGCACTGTGTTAAACGTATCCGGTGTGACTTAAGATAACAACGATTTAAAAAGAAATTCTCTGAAGCCTGTTGTTGATGCCAAAACATCCGTTTATCTTCACGCTCAGCTGAAAATATTTTAGTAACGCCAGGCGGCCATCAAGGATTTTTGCCTGTTTTTTGAATCTAAAAAAATAGGAATCTAGTTATATATTATCTCAGTGGCTGAACAGCTGTTATAGCAGTAAATCTTATTAAGTAAACTAGTAAAACCAGTCAAGTAAAATCCACCATTTATAAAATTCTGCACCAGGTTTCCGCAGACATATAGAATTCGAGATAAGCATACCACCCCTGTCTCACCATATACAACTCTTTTCTGTTTTGTGACTGTCTGGTCTTGGATTTGGGCAGAAAATGAATTGTGCAGATTAAACCAGACGCTATTTGCGAGCAGAAAGCCAAAGTTCTCGGGTGGTAAGGCAGCATCAGACACATTTCATACCCAAATTCTCGGCAATAGCTACCTGTTTGCGAGAAGCTTTCCACATACCCTTATGGCTACCCCCCACAGTACAATCAGCTTATAGCACCTGTATGTAACATATGAGAAAGATAAATCTACTTTGTAATAGTGCTTTTCTAAAGCGGGATTAGCGTTTTTTGTATCGGCAGGAAAAATTGCTGGGGTACGTGTACAAATATAATTAGACGTTGAAGAAATAAAGTTTTGAGTATGTATGAATGACTGAGAAAGGATGGGAATGAAAACTGAGCAGCGACTGAAATATGCACAGCTGCGGATGGCAAGAACCTCAAATCCGCTTTAAATGAATTTAAAATAGCTTGGACATAGTGAATCAAGCCAGTGATAATTAAAAACAAAAACAAAATGATAAGATTTTTGTCAACAAAATAGGACTCATTCAGTTCTCCACTCATAAGAGAGGAACAGACCAAAGAATTTTACAGGAATTTAGCCTATCATATTACGATGGCAGAGCAACTATTTTGCTGGAGTCAGTGGTTCTTATCTTGGCATAGCTTACAATATAATATAAGATTGTAAATAAAATTCCTCGCGTGGTTTCAGGAATATCAACACGAAGAAGTATGTCTTCCTCTCCTCTCTAATCCTGAGACGGAAGCTTTGAGTTTGAAGTCCACGTCCGGAAAACAATGATTGGCCAAGACTGAAATGAAACTATTTGCCAGCGAACGTCACTCTAAATAAACCTGTACAAGTTAAAGCCACGGAAAACAGGTTTGACGGCAAGCCCTCCCCTTGGTAATAAAAAATTCCTAATACAATAATAGTTGGTTGCTTAGATAATCTTCGAAATCATTTCTAAACTTGAAAGAGCTTGCGGTTTCAACTGAACTTTCAATTTCGATTTCCTTCACCGATAAGTTCAAAACAGCTTTGGTTTATTTTTGGAGTTTGTAGAGGTGGGTTTCTTTTACAAGCAATATCAAATGATATTAATGATTACTCTGCTGATCGCGCAGTCACCTGCTTGGACAATAGTTTACATGAACATCTAATGCGCTGTCATCCAATAGCGAGGATCCCTTCAGAATGATCGAGAAAGAGTTTTCATAAAAGATTAGCTGTTGAAAATGGGAGTTTAAACAAGTTGGCAACTCCAGTAATTATAATCCCGACTGAAATGCAAATTTTCTAGGGTTTATTATCGACTGCGTTTGATTTTGACTTCTGGAGCGACATGTTTGGGATGTTATTGTCCACTGTGGTTAATTATGTTCTTGTATTGACTTTAGGGCTATAACAATGGGTCGAGACGCTCAACAATGGCAATAAAGTTCCATCACCTGTTGTTTTCTGCTCTTTAATTCAAACAAGAGCTGATTTGCTCTAAAGCTCATCTTTATAGCGACACCGGAATTCCTATCGGTCTGATTCCTTGAAATCGAAGGAAGGGCGAAGTCGGGAATGCGCACTTCAGGTCAATAAGTCTTTTATCAGCATGCTTATGCCAGCTAGGGTGTGAATTTAATGAGGTTTTACCCGGCTGCCAAATAAGACACGGTTGATATTTTGATACCAAGCTTGCCTCCTGGCGCGGAATGGCAATAAAAAGGTGTATTAATGTGTTACACCTGACACATGACGTCACGGGCAATTGACCAATAAAAACACTTGAAACACAGACGGGCCTGAATCGCCCTCATCAAAAACTCCCTGCACTGAACGTTGCAAAGCACACGTATAGAGTTGTAATCGGACAGAAGCGAAATCTGCTGCTGTCAACCGGCAGAAAAAGCGCAGACGAAAATGCCTAAAGCGTTCCTTGTCAAGAAAAAGAGTGAAAAACTAAAACGATTTCCTTCGAATCTGTTCGTCAAAAGGCAGGCAATCGGTGAGTGAAATAATGTATTGTGTTAATTCTGATGCACTTGTCATATTTTGGACAGGTAGCGAGGATAGAGAAAATTTTTTTAATGAACTTCGACCAAATCAAAGCATTCGCGTTTCTCGTGATTTGCGCTCGCTCTTTGCATTGACTTTGCCTAATTATCAAATGGCTGCTCTTTTGCCACGAATTTTTGATCGCTGGTTTGCGTTGCTAACAGTGCGCTGAATAATTTGTAAACCAAATATCTGATTCCTGCCATGTGTTTTCTGCACACGCAACAGGTTATAGTCAAGAACATGAACATGCTGCCCCGCATATCAAAAGCCCAAGAGTGCACTTACAAATACCCACCGAAATCAGGTGGGAGAAGAAAATATTCTCCTATCCAGCAGAAGTTTCTGGACTCGCAGTGCTTAGGGAAGCACCAAAGAGCGGCACCACAGAATCTCAGGAAAAACACAAACAACCTGACTATAGGAGCGTCGATGAAAACGGTAATGAGATCGCCCCGGGGCAGACAGCGAGAAACGAATTACAATGCCAAGAGTGCAGTAAAAGCTATTCATCGGTTACGTCGCTACTTCGCCACCAGCAATACCACTGTCACCCGCATCACAAGCGCCCGTTCCACTGCAAGTACTGCGATAAACTCTACATGTCGCTAGGAGCTCTTAAAATGCACATCCGAACGCATACACTTCCCTGTAAATGCAAAATTTGCGGGAAGGCGTTTAGCAGACCCTGGCTTCTTCAAGGACATATTAGAACCCACACGGGTGAAAAACCTTACAAATGTTCAAGCTGTCAGAGAGCTTTCGCTGATAGATCGAACCTACGCGCGCATCTTCAAACTCATTCGGAGGTCAAGAAATACTGCTGCAGTTTGTGCTCCAAATCTTTTTCAAGGATGTCGTTGCTGCTGAAGCATGAAGAAAACGGATGCCCAGGAAACACTACTTGACTGATTTAATTCCAGAACTTTCGATTCGACCGAAAAGTCCCATTTGCCTTAATTCGTAAAGTTTTAATACCGCACCAAAAAAATCTCAGTCGTTTTTTTTGAAAAAATGTTTTTGTTGAAATACGAAGCCACAAATCAGGCACAACAAGACAATACTAGTTCACCTTGTGACTAATGGGTTTGCAACAGGTTAAAAACATGGCGATAGCTGTCCATAAAGACAGAGAAAAGCGATAACCAAACAATCAAAGTCTTAGAAATTCAAGGATGCAACCGAATACTTTACCATAACAACTGGATCACTCTAACTTTGCGGCCTAAAAAAGCGTTCAATGACCTCAGACATTTTGGGGAGCATACAGAGAGACAGGAAGCAGAAACTCGACCCAGTATAAAAAAGGAGCTAAAGAGTAGCTAGAAAAAATTATTATAAGGTAATAATTTATATTGACGAACAGAAAAAATGTACAAAGATGATCGTTTCTAAATAAAGCGGATTTTCATTTTCAGTGCTCTAGTCGTCGATGTAATCCTAAGACAATGCGAACGCTATAATCTGTTCAGGCATTTAACTGCGCTAAACACCTGTCGACCTCAAGTGAATAATCTCGCACGAAGAAAAACTCCCTCGAAAACACCTTGAATTCAGCTTAATCAGAAACAAGCTTGTTTCAGAAAAGAAGCTATTGGTGTTGGCAAAGATTTGTTAACAAACTAGCGAGTTCATAATACGCAATTTAAAATCACCTGTTAGCGCCTCCGGGGAATCAATATAAATAACTGTACAGCTAGCTTGTTTTGTAATCTAATAATAAAAGCAACGAATATAGGATTCTATGATTATGAATAGCATTAATTTTGCAAGAAACACTTGATTGTCAAGCAAAACTAAACTGAAGTAGCCGAAATGAGTTGAAACAACATGACTGATGGAGTTCCTTCGCGCAAAAGAAGCAAAATTCAAATGATGGTTGCGAGGTGCAACATCCAGCATAAAAAGAGTCTTTGATAAAGGTTAGAAAACACAACAGGTTCTTAGACAAGCTCCACGGATCAGCCAATGAAAATCAGCCCTCAACCTGTCGCACCGAGACAGTTTTTAATCACAATTTACTAGCCATAGGCATGATTTATTTATCTTTGAGCGCGGGCGACCGTCAAATTCAATCAATCGCTTGTAATTAGTTTCCCTGCTGTTCAAACTAGCGGATAAAACTGTGCATTATGTTTCCTTATATAGCTGTTCTAGCAGTAGCTCCGCAAATTAGATTTCTTAGCCCCAACAGCGAAAAAAAGAAATATTGCTTAAAAGTTAGAAAGACAAATATGAATGCTGTTGTGTTGATCGAACGACTGGTTTGCAATAATCAACATAAGAAAAGTGCTTTCATTTTATCTCGCAAAACCTGCCAATTAACTAGTCAAATGTATTCACCATTTAACCTTATACAATATCTTGTTATTGAAGAGGGGCTTTATTTCGATAATCAATGCCAAATAACATCACGTCCCGGGGAACATTTCAGTCTCGACGACAGGGAATTAAAGTTGAAATAAAACCGACATATCCGGGGTATTTTCCCCTGTAGGTTTTTACAACCACCTGTTGTAACATTAAAATGTTTCTATTAAATAATCATTGCCAGTGAACACGCACAAAACTCCGCTAATTTTCGTGGTTTGTTTGTTAAATCAGATAATGCTGTTTTTCTAGGCTTTACCTCAATCAACGCTAGTGATGAATAAGGACAAATGTTAAGGGGTGACGTTTAATGGAACGCACGTTTTTAGCGAAAAACTTGGCCAACGGTTTCAGTCGAATTAAACTACAAGAGGAACTCTAGAGTGGACTTCCGGACAAAGTGAGTTCACCATATCAACCAAAACGTATTGTAGACCACCTATGAGTTTGCTGCGTGAAGAAGATAAACCTTCAGTGCTAAAAACAAGTTCTGGATTCATGTGAAGATAACGTGCAACAACGCTGCCCATTAAAAGGAGTCAAAAGCCGTTTCGTCGTATTCAGTGTCGATGAAGCGTACGAAATATTCACCTTATAGCATTGTCAAGTAATTCCACCTGTTTCCTTCAAGTTATATACATTTGGCGTGGGAGTAAAGACGCAACCCAAACGAGTCTTCCGGGGGAGGCTGCCGTATATTGACGGGGAGTCCTGACAGGAAGATGAAAGGACTTGCAAGTTCAATCAGACCATTTCTTTCCTGCTTGAAAGGTTTTACATGAAATGTTGGATTATACACACTCTCCAGTGCAACGAAAAATGGAGTTAAAGCTGGGTATTCCTCAATATCGTGTTAAAGGCTATCCTGCAGAAGGCATAGATTCAATCGCTTTACTTTGAAGCTTCCTTTTTTCACCCTCTTACGACCAGAAAAGGCCAAAGAAAAGATTGGACCGAAATAAAAGACCGATTGATTTTGTAAAATGCTGAATAATAAAATAGTACTATAGTGGAAAGACTTCCATGGTGACAAATGGTCACGGGGGAAGATTCCGTCCAGACTCAAAAGTTAAAACTATTTTACAAGAAACAGCCGCCATCATACACTCAACAGTGACTCTAAGAGAGAAAACGCTTATTATGAAAATGCAACCTTATTTTAGTTTGAGCTGTTACCTCGAAAGGCACATTTTCTCACCTCTATTACTTCTCAGCAGCGGCATTGTAGTCAGTTCTGTTAGACAGTAAAAGAAATTTTCGCCACACATATTTTCAAAACACTGATAAATGAAAAAAAAAATGTTTGTTTATGTATTCGTTGAACGTTATAAAGCTTCCGATGGCTGACATTGTCAAAGTCGGCTACTGAAAAATACCTTGCCCGTAGATGCCTGTCGCTAAGCAAGGTTTAGTTAGGGAGCGCTAATATTGAAATAAAAATTCTCTTTATTAACGGCCAGTAGAAAAGAGAAAATATCATATTATCATATTAGTATACTACTAATACTTTCTACGATCGCGGCGGAGGCATTTTGATACACTAGCTGCATGCCTTTTATCTGGTCACGATCCTTCCTTGCTGCGCGAAGCTTTTACCATATGTCTTGTCACTTTCAATTTTCTTAATGTTCTTTGTTTCATTAACATGATAATTATAACGCTGAGTTTCGTATTTTCTGCAACAAAAAGGCCATAATCTACTGCCTTTTGGAAATATCTGAGTCAGAAGAAAGGATTACCACTTACTTCACCTGTGTCCCCCCGGAAAACGTTCTAAGATAGACAGGGGTGTGTCTAACAAAGGACTCATTAAACCACAACAAAACGTCCAGTGAAGCACGAACATCCCACTATTTTATTTGTAATCTGTAATTTAAACACCCCGATTTAAAAAGTCACTTGACAAAAAAAAAATATCCTCTAAAAATATTTTTTAGAGGTTTTGGATGTTTGCGGCAACTGGACGTTGACAAATATTTAAAATAACGCGAGCATAATTACGAGCCTCGTAACAACGCCCTTGAGCGCAAAATTTTAGATAATTTATTATCCAATTATACAAAAACTGTTTTTAGACCTTCATTGTAAGCAGTCGGCCGGTTAGTATTTTTTTTTCTGGTTATCACAAAATATTCATGCTCTGTAAAGTGTTTTAAGTATGACTGTCAGAAAAAAAATGAAAGAGACAAAAGAGAAAGGTCTTCTGATGTTACTCCAGCTGGAACAATACAGACAGCAGTGAATTACGAGAAGGAAAAGTTTGATATTAGCCTGCAAATACAGGCGTCTCTTATTGCTCCTCGCAGCTAGGGAAGAAACGACTATATTCACAGGCTAGTTTAATATGGTCTTAATCACTTCTTTTTCACTTTTCTCGTAGACTTAAACAAATACGGATCACTTGATTACAACTATGGTTACTACTTATGTGGATCAACAAACAACTACAACAACGAGCCAACCAACCAAACAAACTAACTAAACACAAACAAGGATGTAAGTAACCTGCTGCTCTTGGCTGAAGTTTTGTGGAGAAAGCCTGCTTCCTTAATAATCATCGTTGGAGGTCAGGAAAACCCTCCTTGACTTCCCAAGGTCGGATTCACCAGCAGCTCATAAAATCAAGCCAATTAATTTTTTCTAACTTTAGAAATTGTGGTTAAATCCTTGAGTGGACCGTGAAAAAAGGCCACTGAGAAGGAAAGTTCTGCGCTCTCTTTCTTTGTTTTAAAACTTCGACTTCCACAGGAGGAAATTTTTCGCTCCATGTCTCAATCTTTCTTAGCGTTTTTGGGGTCAAAAGGTTACTTTCGAAGCCATCACAATCGAGTCACGTACAACAATTAACGAGCAAATTTTAAATTCCATTAGCCGCAAGGCTATTTGTTAAGTTTGGGGCTTGCAATGTTTTCACTACTTTCAGTACGTGTAGAAAATCCTCAAGCAGAATTTGAACCACTAGTACTGCTCAACGTCCAGCATTCTAGCAAAATGAAATTCGTCCCATTTTTCTAAATTTCTAACTTTGAGGGCTAAATTCAATACATGGCTTTCAGTTTCCGCTCCGCCTAATTACGTGTAAAGCTTAGCAGGTTTCTTTACTTTAACGAGCACGTACTTACACAAAAAATAACAAATTGTTGCAGCAAAGTCTTAAAAAGGATAACAAATACCACCCTGTATATTACCCACCGAAATTTTCGTGTTGGAAGTCATGTTTTTGTTTGAAAGAGTATTAAAACACAAAATGTTCAGTGAGACTTCACAAGGAACCGGTAGCGCTTATCAGAGCATATTTAAATCAGGAAAGCATGAAAATGTAATCAATCATTATTAATTTCTAAAAACGAATATTCCAGGGTGGTCATGGTACACTTAACTTTTCGTAGCTGTGGGAAACTTGAAAAGCTCGTCTTACATAAGTTACGCCCTACTAAAGATTGCAGGGATCACGATTTTAGGTTTAAAAGCGTTCGCAATTTTCTAATATTTTTCATAAAACTACTGTAGTAGCTAATGCAAGAGATGATTCCATCGCGCACTGTGAATTATAGCGATTAAAAATGCTCAATTCTGTAAAAAGCGAAATTACAGTGATTTTACTCACTGGTATGTGTACCACATGACACCTTATGGCGGCAAAGATAAAAAACGGACATAAAAGAGAGCACTGAATACGAAATGTAAAAGCAGCACCGTGGGAAAGTACATATAACTCCCGGAAGTTTACTGAAAAGTGTCATTTGTAGAAGAATGGGTACAACTTAGCTGCTATCTACAAAAATTCCAGTTAAAAAACATGAACACCCGTACTTGCCCAAAAGGAAAAACGCCTTAATCGTCCCGAGGAAATGAGAAACTTTGATCCAGAGTCCCAAAAGGCGGAAAAATAAAAAGACTTTTACCTCCAATTCTGTCCTCCGCAGCAGTCAAAAATCATGACAGTCGACATACAGTCGATATATCGATCCCTTGTGATCTGTTTTCTAAGCCGGTATATGACTGTTATTGGGTTAAAGTGTCAATCTAACGAGATTTTGAGAAGGTCTTCAAAAGAGTAACAGAAACCTGGTATATAATATTGAACAAGCTATCGAAAGTTCTTATCTACTAATCTCAGTGGCAAATAAAAAGATAGGAAAATTAACAACAATGGCGCCGTGAAATGGTGAAAATAAAGCGCAACTTGGTACGTTTGGCACAAAGGCTGTATAAAAACACTGATATCGTATAGATAGGGAATGCAAAGTTGGCTAGCAAAACTTGGCTAGCTTAATGTTTACGTCTAGACACGAGAGTGGCGCATCACTTTGAGTGATTCACCAGCATTAAGAGCTTATTTCGTACATAAACCGCGGGATCGATCGTAAGGGTACACGGGTTTTAAATCAAATCATCGCCTCGGCGCACCATTTCTAGCCCTACTCTGTAAAGCAGCAACTTGAAATTTCCATTTCCTAATGATCAGAGAGCGAAAGAAACAAATTGGAAAAATTGCGAAGGATAGTGAAAGCACATCTATAAAGGAAGTGAACCGATCAGCGAATTCCTTTTTGAATTTGAATTTTCGAAGTATCCTTGTTCCTCTGCGCTGCTATTCAGACAGTATTCAGTCATAAAGCGAAAGAAACAAATTGGAGCAATTTTAAAGTACGTTACGCGAATCAGTTCTTTTTCGAAGTATCGCTGTTCCTTTGCGCCGCCATTAACACGTCAATTACAAAAAGCCAATACATAATTCACCCATAGCTGAACCATTCACAACCGCGCCAGGACTAGCTCAGTCTGCAGAATAATAATAATAATAATAATAATAATAATAATAATAATAATAATAATAATAATAATAATAATAATAATAATAATAATAATAATAATAATAACATAATTTATATAGCGCTAACTCCACTAATTGACCAAAGCGCTTTACAATTCATAACATTAAAATAATTAAAAAGATCCCACTGGTAATAAAATATGAATAAATTAAAAACCTATTTGCAGTCTTATTTATAAAAATATCACAATAAATCCTATTCGAAATTATCAAAAAGTTAAACATTATATGCTTTTTTAAAAAGATCGGTCTTCAAGTGTTTCTTGAATAAATTAATTGTATCTAAACTTCTAAGATCTAATGGCAGCTCGTTCCAGAGTTTAGGTGCAGCAACGGAGAAGGCCCTGTCTCCGTATGTTTTAAGTCTTGACTTCGGAACTGCCAGAAGTTTTTGATCAGTAGAGCGTAGCGTACGTGAACATGTACGATAACTAAGTAATTCCGTGATATATAATGGTGCCATACCATTTAGCGCATTTAAAAGAGCGCTTGACTACTATGCGGGAGGTCGCGGGTTCGATCTCCTGGGCAGGGCCAATACTCAGGGTCCTTAAAAGTAACTGAGAAATGAAGGTACAGCCTTTGCCGTGCAAACAGCCAGACCTTCGCTTGGCGCGGATGACCACGTAAAATGGCGGTCCCGTCTCCAGTAGGAGACGTAAAAGTAGTATCCACAATTTGTACTTTGGTGCTAAAGTACAAATTGACTCAAATAAAGTGCGTCTTTTTTTTCACATCAAAATACTACCTTGTGTAAAGAAGTACACCCTTGTTCCATCTCCACGGACGTAGAAATTTTCTGCTAAGCATTTACCTGAAAAAAAAAAAATGAAAAAGGGACAATTTTATGGAAGAGAAAAAAAACAAAACTAACAAGAGCTAAAAGTTAAGTACAATCGAACTCCGAAAGAAACGCCTTTTGTTAACAAAATGCCTTATAACGAGAAAAGAGGTTTATCAAAAGTTATAAATCATTGAGATCATTGTGATAAACTGAGACAAACTTGAAAACAGCAGGCTTCGGTCCGCTAGATTCAGGCAATCCGTTTAATCTTCCTCAGTTATGGCCATACGCGTGCTCCTTTTCTGGCATTTCTGCTTCTCTCTTACGTTCCTCTAAAATAAGTTGCAGTTATTTTGATTTAAAGGGACTGTTTAGTTCATTTTGTTTACAACCCCAATTTCGCGCCCATTTTCAGCATAAGAGTTGAGAAATTACTTGTGAATGATAAAATCATAGCTTCATGTCAAACAAATATGTCTCCCAAGCATTATTTCAAACTTTCAAAACAACAAAAGTGAACTTTGAAGAACTGTTAGGCTAACAACTTTTCAAAAACCACAATGGCAATCCGTTTCAATCTTCTTCACGTTTGTCCATCCGCGCCGTCTTTAGTATTTGCAGTGTTTTTTATACCTTCTTGGAACTTTTTGGGCGGTTATTTTAACGTTTCAATCAAATTTGTGGCTGTTCCCACTGTTTGAATTTTGGTAAATTTCGTGACACTGCTCCTTTAACTGACTTTTAAACGGTTAATTTCGTCTCCCGTGAATCAGATATGTAAACGAAGTAGCGGTTAACGTTCACAGGGCATTTTACACTCTGACGTTATAGCTACAGACAACTCTGTCGAAAGCGACCATCCTTGGTGCACGACAAAGTGGGCGGAAAAATCAATAAACTAAGCTCAAACTGAACTTATTAACGTAATCACGTAAAGTTATTACCTAACAAGCTAAAACTTAGGCAAACAGACAACTGGCAATAATGTTTCCCATCGAATAGCGCTTGGAACTGTTGAGACTTCGTACAAAACATTTTGCATCAATGTTACAATCCACCGTTTTACCTATGGATCATATTACAGCGATAAACCGCTATAATCTGTTAGCACGCTTGGTACGCACTAAGTCAGTGCTTTTAAAAAGTAAACTTTTGTGACATTCAAGCAATGGTTTTCTTACAATCATACGTGTTGATACCGGGTGGACGCTTACGAGAAACAAAAAACCCTGACAAAAGAGTATCAAGTTTCGAATTTCTGGTTTAAAAAGTGGTCGCGATCGTTTAAGAAACTTACGAAGTGGTAGCTTACGAGAGAGTTGGGTGTATTTGCAATGTTGCCCGCTAAGAATTGGCAGGAAAAAGTTCCAAAACTAGATGTAACTTAATTTGACCCCAAACTGTCCAATGATCGCCGAGTCGTGAAGGTGGTTCTGACTTTTGAGTCTGCAGATGAAATCCTATGATGTGACCATTCAAATGCAATCATTCGTTTTTCAACACTTCACAAAATGAAAAATTTGTATAGGTAATAGTATACACTTAATGTCAGATCCCGAGGGAAACAGTTAGTTTTGTTTTCCCAAGAGTCCTGATGTTTCCCGAGACGAAGTCGAGGGAAACATCAGGACTCGAGGGAAAACAAAACTAACTGGTTTCCCGAGGGACCTGACATTAAGTGTTTTGTTATACTTCTAGCCTTTCACTTCAACAGCAACAAAAGAATAACCGGAGCGAACCAAAACAGTCGACTCGGTACTTATAACAACACAAATTTAATTCTCAAAACCACTGAATGAATGATTTACAAACAAAAGTACTTTCCTCATATTATCTGCATCTTTTTCCTCCACTAGCTGCTGTTTTTCTTCCGGGAACTTCTGGGATAACTTTAAAAATCGTTGCTTTTAGCTTGAGGCTTCGTTTTTGTGTTGTTGTGTTCATTCACGAAAAAGAAAACTGGCAGGACCTGGCAGTGTTTTTCCCGCCTTCTGTCACACCACTTTCCACCATGCTTTGATCACGTGCTGCAATGTATCCCGAGCGGTATACATTGTTTAATGTATCACGATCGGGATACATTTGATTTTAGTCAAGGCCACGTGACCAAGAATCAACCAATGGCAGTCCCTGTTTAGTTGAGTGAAAGTCTAGGAATATATAACAACATGATTTGTTGTCTGTGTGATTTTGCTAAAAGGTGCCCGCTAAGTTTTCGCTTGAACACGGGCATCGCCCGTGTTCAAGCCAGTGTAGCCGAAAAAAACCAGGGGGCTTGGGGTCTTGCTAGGTGCTAGCTGAAATCAATGCGGTGACTCATAATCATAACACTGCTAGCAGAGCTTGGGGGAAGTGATTGACGAGTCATAAGCTTCATGGGTGGGGAGGGTGAGTAATGGCTCCTTGGTGTTGACCGTCTAGAGACTCAGTACAGGCACCTTGTATGAAATCCAGACCGAGTGACATTTGGCGTAAATACCACGAGTGGTATTTATGCCAAATATCACCTACAAATCATGCTATTGATTGTTTATACTACTACCCGTAGAAGGTTTGTAATTTTCACATGTAGGTATTTCAAATTAAGCTGAAATACCACTGCTCTAAGCCAATCAAATTGCAGAAATTTCTCATGTTGTAGTAAAAGGAAATTAATAGCAATTTACCGACTGTGATTATAATATTTCAACTTGTGAGGTTGTGAGTTCCAGCCTTCGTTTAACTACTTTATTTCCCGATGTTACTCTGTCTGTTTCATTGCAGATGAGTAAATTTTCCGAGGAATTTGTCCTTGGGTTTCTGCTCATATTTTTTGATTCAGGTTATTTCTTGTTTCACACCTGTTATAAATGTTTTGTCAGTCCAAAGCAGGATTTCAACAATAGCATCAAAAGAGAAAAATCAGTAGTTTTTATGAAACCAGTCAATCCTATTTTAATATCATATCAAAATATGTCTTATTATTATATAACTTAAGGATAAGAATTAGCGGAAAGAGTTTTATACAACATTTCGATGTTGCCATGACATCCTTATCAAGTGAGAAGATGAAAAACTAAAATTTGATTTTAGTTTTTTTTTTATTCGTGAGTGTTTACAAAATTTATCGTATATTATGTAATAACTGTATTACTAGGTCAGCTTTCCCGCGAAAACAAAGATCACCATTGCTAGTGCTACATAATAAATCGCGCCTTTTGCAGGAAAAAAATATCCAAGTAAAATGGTTTGGTATTTCATTGGTGTTTATATATGAAACAGTACACACTACATGGGCACTTGGAGAAACGAAATTTTCTCATGTTCAAATATTAATATTTTCAACACTCAAAGAGAAATTTCGTATCTCCAAGTGGCCATGTAATATCCTCTACTACACTAGCCTTGCCAGTATTTGTGCAAAATAGACAGTAACACCATGTCAAAGCTGGGGTGACAGTTTCATTAGTCATTCCAATACCATGATCCGCCTTCAAAAGCGCGCTGCTAGAATAATTATAATGGATGATACTCCCTGGGACGCTCTTTCTACGGCTCTCCTCAGCGAACTTAATATTAGGGCCATTTATATGAGGAAAAATAAGACGCGTCTTTCATTAGACGCGTCCTAAATATGACGAAAACTATCCCGTATAAACGGCACATTAAGAAGCGACTTAGCAAAGACGCGTCTTATCGAAGAACAGGTGTTAGGGGCAGTTCTTAGATAAGACGCGTCTTAGCTAAATTTCAAACGAAATGTGCCGTTTATACGGGATAGTTTGAGTCTTATTTCGGACGCGTCTAATGAAAGACGCGTCTTATTTTTCCTCGTATAAATGGCCCTAATATTAAGTTCGCTGAGAAGAGCCGTAGAAGGAGCGTCCCAGGGAGCATCCATTATAATTATTTTAGCAGCGCGCTTCTTAAATGGTCTGCTGCCCAACTACATTGCCTAGAAGTTTTTAAGATTCAGCGCAGTCTATGCCAGGAAACAAGAAACAGCAAAAGAAATTTAAAGTTGCCCAGAATTAAACAGTCATACGGACAACAGTCAATTATGTTCAGTCCTGCAAGTTTGTGGAACAGACTTCCTGAGGAGTTGAAAGACTGCTCTACCTTGACGTCTTTCGAAAACAAACTTAAGCGAATTGAAGTTTGCAAATTGTAATGAACAATCCTTAGCAATTCCTTAGTTAGTTTATCTTTAAATTCTCACCTATGTATCATAGCTTTTTGATTGATTATTGTGTTTTTTATTTTAATTTTTTTTCTGAGGGCCATGGGTAGATTATCGAGAGATATTACATGCTACCCTCAATAAACAAAAAGTTTTATTATTATTATTAATCTGCAAGAACAAAATACAGGGGCACCCAACGTTAATTTTCGGAACATATCTGTTCGGAAGACGATTTGAGATCTAGAATTTTCGGAACATTTGTTCTCAAATTTCCTGCTTGCCTGCCATTCCTAGGATTGTCGAACATCTAAAAAATGCTACAATTGCCCATTTTAACGGATTTTTACCCTAGAAAGATCACCTAGAATTTTCGGGAACCTTTTTCTGGCAGAAATTTTCGAAAAGGTTATTTTTGATCCCTATAATTTTCGGATCACTAGACTTTCAGCTAGGAAATCCGAACAGATGAAAAATTTTTAGGGGATAAACTACATCTATATCTACTGTTTAAATACTAAAATACGTTTAACAATGCTACGTTTAAGTGGTTTTGAACTATATTCTCGTTGGGTGCCTCTGAAAAGGAAAAAAGAAGAACTACCTTTTTTAAATCTGAGCTGTGCCATATCAAATCGACCATAGTCTCTAAACAGAATCAGCCCGCCTGGCTTTAGAAGCTGAAAAAACAAAACCAAACTGTAACAGCTGGAAACTGACACAGTCAAACCCCGCTTGTATTTAATAACGGGGTGTCCATATTAAGCGGGTTGAATTTAGAGAAAAAGTAAAGGCTTTCTTTTCCTGGGACAAAGCAAACTGTCCGTCATAATAAGGTGTCCGTAGTAAGTGGGTGCCCATCAAGCAGGATTTTACTGTACTTGTTCAGTTATGATTATAGGTACTAAGAACTTGTGCAAAATGGTAGGGGCTTTGTTTGTTTTTAATATTAAATTTTTAAAAAAAGGGGACCACAATAACCAACCTTAGAGAGTCTGTAAATTACATCTTGCATTCTGAAAAAAAAAAAAGGAATAAACAAATAAATAAAACATTTGTTAGATTGAAAAACACAGGGTAAGACTTTTGAATTGGAAGCTGCAACAATCGTTATCAGCACTTGCTTTCTTGATTTTACACATTGACAACAACAACAACAACTTATTGCATGTGAAATAGTTTACAAGTTATAAATTATAGTGATACAATAAGACTGAAAAGGAAAAAGAAAATATTTGATGCAACCCGCAGTTTGCTTAAGCTAATCAATGCGGAAGGTGAAGTGGACAAGAAAGAAAAATAAGAAAAACTAAATGTAATAATAATTTTGATGATGAGAACAAAATTGATACCCAGCATGGCGTAATTATTTGCTAAGTTCATTACCAGAACAAATTCATTTCTTACATGTATCATCTCTGTAACAAAGAAGTTTTACTTACTTGTCTGGGTGAACAGCTGAAAGTACAAAAATCAAGATGACAATGTCAAGACTGCCATCAGGAAATGGGAAAACAAATGTGCTGTCTGTTACATCACACACAAAGGCATGACACCTCTCACTACTATAATCTGGATGTTCCTACCAAGAAATCAAATAAAATGATTAGATTGTTTGTTCTCACAGCAATAACTAGCCAGAATTTCAGCCACCTACTTGAGTCACAAACTTCTCTAAAGCAAAAGGTTAGTTAGTTGTAGTAGTAAATGTCACTGGACAGCTTTAGCAGCTGTTGATTTAGAGTTTGCAACTCAAAGAGATGGCTAATATTCAGGCTAGGGAGTATCTACTCAATTTAATTTAATTTCAATAATTTGCAGTAGTTTTAAAGTGATGGGTGATTGACCCCAGCCTGGAGATACAGCACTGAAAGTTATGAACTTTGAGGGACAAGTCTGGTTCTTGGAAGTTTTATTTTTGATCAAATCTCACTTACCTATTTTGTGGACATTAAACTTAGAATGAAGTTTTAGCAGCTAAAATTTGTTATACAAGGGAAGTCTGAAGTATGCATGGGGAATGACCATTTCCAAAGAAAATTTGTAATCCTTCAACATATCTTTAAAAATGTTTCCCTGATAAAAATGTTATTTTCCTATATATGTTTTCATTTTAAGCACTGTACTAAAAACAGTTTGAAACAAAGGAAGAAAATAGAGAAAATACATGTACCATTAACATCAATGGAACCATAACATCATTAGAAATCCTGGAATTTACAGGCTCACAGAATAAAAATAATTATTATTCTTAATTATTTATTATTATTATTATCATTATTATTATTATTATTATTATTATTAAGCCTGTGATAGGAAGAAAAATACTTGCTACAGAGATTTATGTTGCATTTCAAGCTAGTTTGATTTTCCAGCTTATTTAGGTTGGGGTTCAGCTATGTTGAGAGCCAAACAAGATCAAAGATTTTAATCTCGGATTTTAATTTTGAACTACAACAGTTGGTATATTACTCTAGCCTTATTCTCAGAGGTTTTGAGGTTACTTGTCAATGCAAACATGACTATGATGATGTTCTTGAAAGGTTGCCTAAACATCACACAGTTTCAACAACAAGACATGCAGTACCAAGACTCCAACATTCATTACATCAACTAGTAACTTAAAATACTAAGGCTCTTCACTCTACATGTTCAACTCACCTTCACTAAATTAATCGCTTTTGAAGAAAAATCACAGCAGTAAACAAATAAATCTGGATCACTGAAAAATAAAGGATTGCTTTTAAAATGCAATCGTTTTAATCAAATTCATTTATTTCAAGCAGATAACGTTAATTACGTCTTACAAATTCAGTGTTACAGACAAGAGATGGGTCTTAGGTCAATGACCTGACAAAGAAGGCTTCCTGACCCAATGATTGAAATGTTAAGACAAATAAAACAAAAAAAATTAGCATGTGATCTGGGTGACCCCTCAGATGGTCTACATGACCCTCCACTTGAAACAATTAACTGGAACATTGCAAAGTGCTATAAGGTTTCAGGATATCACAGGTGGTAAATTACTCCTAAATTTTGGCGTAAAAAGTAAGCATTAATTTTGAATTTCACAGCAGAAAAATTGAACACGCTATAGAAAACATTATAAAAAGGAAGGATTTTAGTCACGAGTTTGCCTTGTGCAACCACTTTCATGGACTCCTGAGGTGGTTGCTTATGACATTTGACTGAATAGTACTTTTCACTGGGAATTCTGATTTTGGTATTTTTTCTTTATGGTTACTTATAAGAGGAAGGTGGTCACACATGGAGGCTCTACTCTGTTATAGTCACACAACGAATTGCGGAATACTCCTTTATCCCCTTACTAAAAACTTACTTGTTTGCTTCCAAGATTGGAAAGACAGTGTTCCCAACACCACAACCAACCTAAAAAAATTAATAAAAAAAATCCTTCTTCAAAAATAAGACACATTCTTCATTGCCTCAAAATCAAACAATATCACATGCATTCTTGGTTGCTTGCATGTGATAAACCACATATGTTCTCAGTTGCCTAAAAACCATCTCATATCATGTAAGAATTGAAACCATGACCAAATTTAATATAATTGTGTACATAATTACTACTTGTTATGAGGGTCACATTTCTAACATCCCTCAACTCCTTTGCTTTCCCTTCATGAAAATTAAACATGAGATTAGAAATAGAAAAAAAAACTCATACATATTTAAGAGGAAACACTCCATCAATTTCTTCACCTCCAGAATCCGTTTCTTTGTCTTATGTCCAGGATAAACTTCAGCACAATGTCTTTCACTTTCAGTACCATTATCCTTCAAGATGGTGGTTGAAGAATTCTGTTTCACACTTGCACAGCATCGAGTATTATCAAATTCCTTACAACCATCTCCCATTGTCAAAGAATTAGCAGCCACATTCTTAGAGCTATTTGAGACATTCAAGTTCTCTAAGAAGTTAGATAAATGAGTCTCCTTTGTTAAAGCCTTCTCGTGTCCTATGGCCTGAAGATTTGTTTTCTCTAGATGTTGAGGCTTTACAGAGTGTGGTGACAAAGCCTCATTGTTTTTTACTGCCAGGAGATTTGTTTCTTGTTGTAGTGGAGTATCATCTGAGCTAGGCTTTGATCTTAAAGCTTCTTCATATCTTGATCCCAGAGAATTTGTTGTCTGTTCATGTTCAGGTTGTGGTTTTACGGAGTTTGGTCCTGATAATTCTGGAAATTCTGTGAATAACCAGTGACGGTCTTTGAAAAACCTTTATTGACAAAAGAAAAAACATTCATCATCTGTCAAATAATACGCCTTATTATTCATTCACAATATTTCCCCGATTCTGATTGGCTAAAAGCACATGCATAATTCACCATAACCAGTTACTGATGACCAAATTTGGAAGAATTTTGTGTTTAACGAGGAAATGACGTCAAAAATGCAGCGCTCGTGCAGGTTAAGGCACCGTCAACCGAGAAGAGGTTGAGGTTGGTTTTGGTTGTGAAAACAAAAAATGGCAGACATTTCACTTGTTTTAAGAGTAAGAACTAGGCGAAAAAATAGCTAAAAACATGGCAATTACAGCAAGAAGACAACTCGAAGGGCGACATCTGCTATTTGGAGAATATTTGCGGAGCTGGACAAACCTAAATGTGCACTACCGAGGATGAACATAACATCGATGGATTGATGGAGGTAAGCATGTTTTAGCCATGTTTTTGAACTAGGAATTATTTTGAATCAATAATAAAACAATTATTGAATTCGACTTTCGTATCATATGAATAATTATGGAGATCTTGAAGGGTGTTATCCGCCTTGGCCTACGGCCTCGATGGATAACACTCTCCTCAATCTCCATAATTCTTCATAAGATACTCAGCCTCATTCATTAATTGTTAATTCATTTATTTTAATTTTTTTTGAAAAAAAAAGGATAAAGAAAAAAGAAACAGGCTACCTAAAGGGGAGCTGTAGGACCTGTGCTTCCAACTGTGGATAACTATTAATTTTTTGGCTACAAAATAATTAGCAATAATCTATTATATTTATTATTAACCAAATAATGATACATGATGAGTTACTTGTTTCACGTAAGATATCTTTGATTATTATTATTACTTGGCAGGGCTAAAATATCATTTCAAATTATTATTCTTAAATTTTCAATTTTCATTTCACCACTCTAAACTACATGAACCTGTTTTGATGTTGCATGTAAAATTCATTCCAGAAACAATCTGCTTTCTCCTCATACAATTCTGAAAGTTGAATTAGAGGTAGAAAATATCAGAATCAGTACAAGATTCTGGCAAACTGCCCATGCACCTATCCCTTCCTTAACCCAACATTGTGCCCCAAATGAGACATTAGTATTAAAGTTCTGGTTTAAGATCTTTAACATCCATCCAGCCCTCACACATGACGACATAGTCCATTTTGATTTACTCTCACGGCATGTACTCTCAAGATGTCAACAGACAATGTATGGCCAAAATGACCATTTGTCTGGACAAACATTCGGTTTGCCAGTCATTTTGACAGGAAACGAATACAGTGTAAGTGACTGTAAAAAAGATATATTTTTACACCATTAAATTTCAAGAGTACAATCATCCTTTTCCCCTTAATGTTTTTGCTTTAAAGCTAAGTATGTTCCAGTTATTATCGTGTTATTAGAGAGGTTAAGTTTCACGTTTACGTCAAACGGCAAACACAAATTTGTACCATGTGACCAAGTGTCCCCTTTAATAAATTGTTGTTTCCTGTTTATTATTTCTACATATAAATTAATAGTTTCATGCAATTTTATATCCATAAGAATTGCTTTGAACCATTTTTTTTCTGCTCATCTTCTATTTTGAGAAATTCTCAACTTGAATCTGGCATTTGCTGTGAAGCTTAAACTTTCCACTTTTAACATTTTGACTGGACAGAAAAAAGACATGACCGACCTAAAATTTCTTTGGCCAATCAACCGGCTGGCAACAGTCCAAATTTGTTTTGAGCGCTGTCCAAAAAATCTCAAATCATGCTATTTGAAATAATTGTAAAAGAGGGAACTGTGAGAGCTACCTCTCTTTCAAAATTTAGCCACTGTTTTGTTTTAGGAATATTGTCGATCATAGTGTAGACAAAAGCCATTCTCAGGTTATAACCAGGAATTCCTTTGTCGACTCCTCAATTTTGTTCCCAGGGTTCTCTCTGCCACGGAAACAAGGTCGTTGTCTCCTGTTTGGGCTCAGAAACAAATCTGTTCTCTGGTTTAAAGGGCTGGCTGCGTTACAGCTGCTGTCCAGTACATTTTGTAAATATTGCCAAAACTACACTTCTTTATTGTCAATGGAACTTTGTCCCCCAAGAATTATATCAAAAGCTACAGACAAAAAGAATTTGGTGGCAGTTTCCAGTGTGTGAATTTTGATAAAATTAATTTTGTGACAAGGCTCCTTTTCCTGTAGAATGAATTTTACCAATGACATGAAAACCAGTTCCCCTGGAGGGTCATCAAAAAATTGGAGGGAAGTTCTCAGTCTCCTAAGTAATACTAAAAGCTGCAATAAACATTCGTAAATGAGTTTCTAGTATCAATGCCCATTTCATATGGGAGCCCTTCACATATCCCCTGCTCTTGGGGTATGAATACTTTAAGCAGTTTAATTTTTTTTTTATCACATCAACACAATACAGCTATGAAAGTAAAATACTTTGTTGATCTTCTCCAAGTTTAACTCTGGAATTTTCATTTATCTTTTGTTGTGCATCTTGCTCCTGTTCAGTATCCCATTCCACACTGTCCCTAAATATAACAAACATTCAAACAAAACAAAAATAAACATGTAATGGAATATAGACTGTTGGTTTCATTTCTTGGTGGTGTGAACTGAAAAAAAAAAGTGAAAGAGAAATACACAAATGTGTAACTGTTCTAGACGACAAATTTGGATCGGAGTTTTTTTGCTAGGTTTTGCTTGTTTGTTTGTTTACTAAAATAGTATGATTCTAACAAACTTCTCAATCAGTCCTCTTTGGGGGTTTGCCTAAGAAACGGAATCATTAAACCCCATGTCAAATGCCAAATATAGCCCACTACAGGCATTCAGATTGGTGGGGAGGGAGTCTTACGCGGCGAGCGCAAAACGAAAACAAGGAAAAAATGAGGGGAGACCCCCTTTTCGCCGTCTCTTTTCCTGGCCCTGGTTGTTCAAATGTTGGATAGCACTATCCACCGGATAAATCGCTATCCAGTGGATAAGTATTGCGAAAACCAATTGTGTTATCCACTGGATAGTGATTTAACCAGTGGATAGCGCTAACCAACGTTTGAACAACCGAGGGCTTGTCAATTTTTCGCCTGCGCCCAACTATCTGAACGCCTGGAACAAGGCTAAACGTATTACGGCCAAATAAATCTGAAATATATGAATGAGTGATTAGCTCTAGTGCCAACCATGTGCAATGATCTTTTCCTTTTTATTTAATTATAACTGATGACTATATTTTTCCATCCTTCTCGCACGTTACCACTTCGCGGTTCAAAATGGTTGAATGAGAAAGAAGGTCATCTCTCAAGTTAATAACCGTTTTGGTGTACATCGATCACCACAAAACCCGATATACTAGATATAAGGAATATTTAAGGTCTATCAATATCTTACCAGGCATTATGTTCAAAAACCTTGCTCGGATCGGAGAGAAAACGATTACCAAACTGGGGCCTTGAAGAATCGTCGCTATCCGCCATCTTAGAGTGGTTATTTCTTACATGATGTACAAGTCCCGTTGGTTGGCAATTCCCAGACCAGATAGCGCGGGCTCATACCTCAGCTGCCACCGTTCAAGTAAAACAGGTCTTCTGAAACAAAGAAGCAAAACTCTGTTTTTTTCATTGTAGCTCATGCTACGTTGAAACGTCTGCCACATGTCCCACATAGGCTAGGGTGCGGAAGTGTTTGAACAAAATCCCTCTTTATAAAGGGACGATCCCCGGGGGGGAGGGGGAGGAGGGGCACTTCCTTATAAGAGGCTAAGGGACAGACCATTAGAAAACTTATGGGGGGTGGGGGCGAAGTACAAAAAATATATTCGCGCAAGGGAAAATTAAATGAAAAAAATTCATGCACGCCAATTAACCCTAAAAAATATTCATGCTATGGCCTAAAAAAAAAATCATACAAGGAATTTGATAACCAAAAAAAATTCCTGCAGCTCGAAAATTCCCCTTCCCCTCCCCCTATAACATTTCTAATGGTCCGTCCCTAATGGAGATGTGCAGGGGGTCGCATTTTCACGACTGGATTGACTATAATGGGGTCGCTTTTCAATAGAGGTACTAGAATTGGGTCGCACATTTTCTGATTTTTGGGGGGTAAGACAGTTCCAGACAGTTCTTTATAGCGTACTAGAATGTTTTTGCTGCAGATGAGAAGTAAAGTGTTCTTTATTCAATCTAAATGGGTCAATACATACAAATAGAAAATGACTAAGTTGGGATCGCGAAAATTACATATTTGCCCAAAAGTGACTAAGATGGGGCTATAATTGGCCACAGAATAGACTATAATTGGGTAGGGGTTCTAAGAGGCCAGCGGCACATACCCAGCAAAAATTAACCCCAGTACCCCCCAGGGGAACGATATGACGCATCGTGACCAGACTGAGTAATTTTATTTTTCAGCCGAGACAAAAACCTTCTACCAGAATAGTTTCAATTATTTTGCATTCTTTTTTTAACTTTTCAGGGGCTATAAATGTTAAGTTATATGGTCGTTTGCGGTCCCTTCGAGGGAAGCGAACGGGACTGCGAACGACCTCGGACGTCTGAGAATCAGGCTAGGTGAACTATTGAACTATATTCTCGACTGGAGAGTGCGCAATGACCAAAGAGACGACTTAACAGCTAAGACAGGAAAACCAATCATTAAGAAATGAAATAAGCGAACTAAATGCAAAAATACAAAAACTGACGTACCTACTAATATCATAATTAATTTGTCCTTTTAGTAGTTTTCCTTTTTTGAGTTAATGTGGAACCATATTACTTATACGTTTCTCTCTATTTTGCAAAACTGTTAATCTCTTTTTTTCAAACTCTTTTCTTGAACTCTGTAATATTTAGAACCAAGAGCCATAATAGTCCTATTATGGCTCTTGTTAGAACTTATGAGACTGACCTGCCTCGATTAGTTTAGCTACCTGCAGGTCAGTCGGATTGATTGTAAACAGTTGTTATATATAATAAATAATCTTAAAAATAAACTTAAATATTCTGGTACAATCTTTTTGTTAGCTTTTGTCCCCTGAAAATTAAAATAATTCAATTTCCTGGTGGATTCTGTCTTAATTTTTCTCGGGATTTTGACCTGATAAGGGATAGGATGAGCGACAGTAAGAGTACTTTCGTCTTAATTTTGATTCCTACTGTATTAAAAAAAAAATAAGATGACTTAAAAGTTTTTATCCACCAACATCACATGACATCACTGCCTCCAGGAACAAATGTAGCCCCCTAAATTATTTCTTGTCGGGATAATACTCTGATTCCATGGGGATCAATTATAAGGCATTGAATAATCACGGCTTTCTTGTCTTTGCTTTATTGCCAAATTAAAACCAAATAACTACAAATCTGCAAACGTGCGTCTCTAAAACGTACATTTTCACTAGCTTTATAATTGAGGTTTTAGTTAGCACACAGTGTGCTGACAGTTGGTGCTGTCTTAAGCCGGCAAAGCATAAACATCAGCACACGTTTTGCCGCCGTTATCTCCCTCTTGCGAGTTTTTTAAGTCTTCCCAGTACCATAGGCGAAGTTCGCTGTTTTCCAGGACACAGAGGGGTTTCTTCTGGGCGCAAAATACGGCTATAGAGGAGGAAGATGTATAGCCTGCCATAAGGCTCGCTCCTTCCTTGCTTGGTGCCAGTATCTTGTTATTCTCATCGGTCAACAGGGTATTTATATTGTTGGGTGTATTTGGAGCGCATCCCCAGTAGCTGTAACCAATTTTACTGTTGCATGTCACTGTTCCCGAGCGATGCACGAACATTATCGAACGCACGAAAATATTCCGATCGTACTTGAATCTTCCGAACTGATCGCCTTTAGCACCGAAGCAGACCGGGGATTTGTTGAGTTTGATCCAGCCAGGACAGGAACTCACCAGA